CCACCCCAAACCCAACCCCAACCCCAACCCCAACCCCAAACCCAAACCCAAACCCCAACCTTAACCCCAAACCCCAAACCCTTAAATATAATATTACTTTGCTCTTGATAGAGTTTTTAATTTCTTAAGCTTAAATTTCATTGCGATTAATTTAAGACAAAAGCTGAATTATTAAAAATATGAAATTACTATCTCTTGGTATAATAGTTCATGAGTTGGATTAATTTTAATTATATCTTTGTATAATTATTTAGCATCTTCAATCTCATTCAATTAAGCTATTCAAAAATAAGTTTTACTCATATAACACAATAACTTAAAATAATAAGAATTGGTAATCATTTTAGTACATCATTTCAACAATGTTAGGTTCAATTTAACTTCTTTATCAACTATGCCAATTGATTATTTTTCTTGAAAGTCTGTTTATTGAAGTATTTGATTCTCTAAATTTTAGATCTCCAATAATTGCTTTTGCGACTAATCCACTTCGAAACTTGGATTTAATTATTCTGGAATATTAGTTTAAATATGTTGTTGATTAGATTATACGTCATCCAAGTTGCTAGGAATCATTTTTAATATTGAATAGAAATATGAGTAATAGAAATACTTAATAATCATAGTATCTTTAGCATTAACCAGAATAAATAACAATAAAATATCTAAATTACAAAAAGAAAGGATAAAATAAAAACAAGGATTATAATATTATTTCAATTTCGAAAGAATCTTATAGAAGTTCAGAAATAATAAAAATCATTAATGTAGAGAATATTTAATTCGAGTCCTCCTATTAGTAAACAGATCAAAAAATAATTCAAGAAATATTTCTTTATGGATTAAAAGCCAATAAGAGAATGGTTAAAGACAAGACTCAAAGATGACTAATTTATTAAGTAAAGCAAATTAAAATTTAAGGGAAATAATTCCAAGTACCTATAATATAATCTGTTTATTTCTTCATTATTTATTTTATTTAAAGCACTTCATATTTTATAAAAACATGTTTTTACTTTTTCGATTTTCAATCTTAATAATAAGGTTACTTATTATGTATTCTATTAAATATCTTACTTTTATTTGTTCATAAGCAATTTTAATTTTAGTTGTCTTCTGGACTTAAAGCTTTCTTTTCAAAATTCATTCAATTATATAAGAATTTATCAAACAATTAATTGTAACTATAATTGAATTTAAGACATTGATTATATTCTGCTTTTATATTTATTCTACCTTAAACCAAAATCTATATTGAAGATGTTAAATTAAGATAAACATTTTAATAGTTATAATATTCAACCTATATTAACTACAGATTAAGGAGTACTTCTTTAGTATAATTGAAAGAATCAAAGGAAGGATTCAATATACAATATTTATAAGAAAAATTTAATATTTCAATTAATTTTATCATAATATTCAATTAAAAGTGTTTGCCTTCATAAATAATCTCTAAGAACAACTAAAATTTTGAGGGTTGAGGTGTTTGATAAAAATTTTTCGATATTGATACTAAAATTTCAGTCTAAATTTCTACAGTGTTTTAGCGTATTATAATGCTTGATAGAATTTATTATTCTAATCAATAATATTTTTTTTTTAAATCATCAAGCTAGCACATAGAGTTTTAGGTAGTTACTACTAGAGAGAAACCTTGGTGATTGGCAAATCAAGAAATTCCGAAACCCCTTCAAGCATTCAGAGTAGGGTTACGATATGAAAGAATTCTGAAATCGGAGTGAAATGATCTATATCAAAAATTCATAAGATCACCATAACTAATTCCAGACCTATTATTAGTCTTGATCTTTCAAATTAACTTTTTAATCATATCTGAAATATTTTAATCATAAATTTTAGCATACTAAAATTTAAAGGTAAAAGGTGATTTCTAATTTTTCATTAATATTTGAAATTTTAATTTATTTTGATTTTCATAATGAAATATCTTATTATTGAAACTTTCAATATTGTAATTTTTTACATAATCAAATGTTGGGGAAAAGATATTTGCAAAATAAGGATGGGCAGCTTTCACGAGGATCTTCAATACTATTCATAACTTTGAAAGGGGCTTAGGATAGTTTCTCTGCCACCAAATTCTTATTCAGACTTTAATGGTGAATGATGACATGAATGAACCTATTTTAAAGATGCTATTCATAGGAAGAACCCAATTTAAGGAGGGAGAAACAGTGGAATAACTTTTTCAAGAGTATCCTAGAATCTTGGCCGGAAGGAAAGAGATTACCATAAAAAGGAGTATTAGAATCTCAATATAAGGGTTGAATTAAATGAGAATTAGCAAATTACAATATAGTGAAGGCTCCTCCCTCCTAATTAATCCCAAGATAGAAGTTATAGATAATAAAGTTGAGAAACATTTTTCAAATTCTTTTCAAAATAGATTTTTTTTAAATCAGAATATTACAAAAGAACCAATAAGATTTGAATAGGAGAAACCTAATTGAAGCCTTAAATACAACTATTATTTCGTTGTAAATTAAAGGGATATTTAGATAAAGAATATAATGATAAGATCATCATTAGCTTAGATTCTGAATAGTGCAAAAGTAACAAAATAATCTAGAAGAAGGTGCAGTTGGAGCAAGGTTGGCTAGTACGTAGAAGGATATAACTATCAGATTAAGATGTTCCAAATCAATTGGAAAAGAACTTCAATTATATGAAAATCTATGTATTTTGACCTGAATGATGTAGAGAATTAGATGATAGAGTAATAGTCATTCTAAAAGAACTTTAAAGATTTATCCTGACTTTTTAATGTGAAAACCTCTTAAAACTAATACTGAAAAGGTAAACCCAATTTGAAAAAAAATTAGATGACAAGGTGTGTAATGAATAAGAGAAATAACTGGTTACAGAATGAGATTTTCCCTATTAGACTAAAATTTAATAAACAAAATTGGGGGTGAAATAAACTATGAGGGATGCTTTAAATACATCAAATTTATAGAAGAACAGGTGAATGGTGATGAAACTTCCAGATCTAAATAGATGGAGTTATGTTCTGCTATTTGATTTTATTACATTTTAAGTAAATAGATGTACTAAAACATTTATTCTACCTATGGGAGGACCTCAAACCTTCAAAAGTTGAATCAAATCCATTCAATAAGTTATCTTATAAATAAATGTTATTTTCTTAAGGAGAATCCTTCCTTACATATTCTGTCAAATCTACTCCCTCCATAAAATTAGAGATGGTTGAGAGAAGTATATAGGGAAAGAAAATAATCATCTCATCATCATATTATTAATGTTACCATTAATTATTTTCTTTTGAATTCATTTTTAACTGCACCTTAATAACATTAATTCTTATTCCATAACTTATGCAACATTTCCACTAAATTCCTGAAATTAAATATTTAATACAAAAAGATAATCTGTTTTCATCAAATTCTACATCCAATTACAAAAAACATTCTATATTCGTTTCTGCTCAAATTAAGAATAAAAAGAGTTAGAACTGCAATAAAATCAAAATTCACTCCATATGTAAATTAATATATATGGGGTAGTTTGGTGGTTGGTTAAGGAAGATAAATTTATTTAGACCTACAACCTTCACTTCTAAGTAAATATCTCCTTATTCATTTTTAATTCCACCACATAATAGTTGAACTCCTTTAAATTGAATTTCAATGACAATACCATAGTTCTTCCATTATTTGAAAGCCCAATCCATTTTATTACATTATGTAATTTTCATGGATTCTTCCAAGAGTCCATATCTAAAGTTTAAGGATCAAAGTTTTTTCAGTCTCATTTATGAAGAAGGCATATCTCTATTTTTGTAGATCAACATAATTTTAGATTGGTTTTGTGAAATTTCCATCATCTATGATATTTATATACCTCCGGAACTACACATCATATAAGTTAATCACCACCTTGATGATACAGTGATTATTTAAATTAATGAGAATCCAAGAATTTAAGTACTTTTTATTTTTTATTATTGTGTCTCACTTTCCATTTGTTTAGTATTGATGAAAAGTACTTATTTTAGAATTTCTTTCTTCTATTTAAGAACTTTAAAAGAAGAAGTCGGATTCATTTAATCTATTAGTATGTTCTCAAGAGTATTTCTAATTTCACTCCTTTATTCATTATCTTCACTAAATACTTTGTCTAATGTTACTCTCCAATTCACTTAGTTCACGAGTTAGGAATCTAGTTCTATCTCATAGGCCTCCTTAAGTTAGTCTATAAATTTCTCTTCATATTATCCAGAATAAGATAGCCATTCCATCTCAAAAATGCAATAGAGAATTACTATGGGGATGGACAATGCCGGGGATTAACTTGAAAAAATATCATTCTTATAATATAAATACCATTCTCCAGCTCTTTATAATTCCTAGATAAGTTGCTCAACAACTTTATTAAAAGAAAATATTAAATATTAAAGTCTGTTTTATTTAAAATATTTCTGATTGACTCTGATCTTAAATTAATCTAAGAAGGGTTATTGTTATATTTCTATCATAAATTACAAATTATACAATTTTAAATGAAGATTTAATTTTTTAACTATTTTTCCTTTCAACACTCTCTTCCCTAAAGATTCTTGTCTTTCTGGCTAAGTAGTGGATCTGTAAAAAATGTTGTTCTCTTCCTTAAAATCAATGTTATGGGGGATTTAAAAGGGGCACTATCAATTTGTTTTAAAATTGGACTAACTAATATCTATTCAAAAGGATGAAGGCATAGCCTAAACCATGCCTAAGCATTAATCCTTTGTATTCATATTGGATATATTAGTTTCCACAATTTATTCCCAAGACTCCTTATTGTCACCATCAAATCCATATTTATTCTGGTCATTTTAATTTCAATCAAGTTATGCCTCTTTATGTCAACCATTAAAAAGAAAAATCAAATCCTATTTACGGTGAGTCGATAATTAGCTGGATCTGATTAATTTTTTTTTCTTAAAAAAATTTTTAACAAAAAAAACTACAAACAAATATTATTTTATATAGGTAGAAACATTATATTATCAAAAAAAAAAATTACACCCCTTTCAGGGTATTTATTAGAATAATTAAACATACAGTCAGAGAGTAGTTTTATTAAATAGAGTTTAGTATCCAAGCCCATTTGCACCACTCAGAGAGGATGAAATGCCTACTTCACCGTGATTTATGAAAGTCAAGATCTAGGCTGCCAGTCAGATCATCAAGTAATAGGGGGTTTTAGTCGAGCAAGAACAATTGGTGTATCACCCCCCTCCTTCTCCGAGGGAACATGCCTTCGCCTGAGGATTCCCAATTTAACTAGAAAAAATGTAACATCTATTCATAAATCAATATAGGTGGGGTGACTAGACTCCAATACTCCTAGATTTTTCTAATCTTAATAATAGGAACAATGCTTCTAGTTTTTGGCCAGACCAAAATACAGAATAATTTGAGGAGGTATAGTATAGGGTGGTACTAATTACGTCCATCATTAACATTTAACACAAACACTTCTTATTTGATACAAAGTTCTTACTATTAAAATTTTTGGTTTTCATATAATAATTAATATAGTCCTCCATTTCTCATCTAAATGAGCTGTCGAATTTTCAATTCATTTTATTTATTATATAGAATTTTTTATGCAGAAAGTTTGTGATTTTATCATTCTTCCTGTGTGCTTATCTTGCACTGATTATTAAAATCAATAGAGCAAAAATTAAGATGTATTTCATTATTAATAAATGTCGTTAAAAATATATTTAAAGTTTATTTCTTCAAATCTATTTATTCTGTTCCCTTGCCTAAATACTTAGAAAATAAAATTTAGAATTTACTAAATTATTTTATAACTCTAAATTTTTATGAATAATCAACAGTACTTCCTATCTATGTCTAAAATTAATAATCAAAAAAAACAGCTTTATCCATAAAACATAACATAAATACAACTTATGTCTACAACAATAAGAGATAATGAAACTTATTCAAAATGTGCATATGAAAATTGTGTCAGATTCAACCACCTAAACTTTGTAAGGCCAAAATCCAAAGATATATGATTAGTTAAATAAGGGAAAAGATCACAACATAATGATGTTTTTAGATTTTCGAAACAAAATCCAACTTCATTCTCTTAATTGAATAATCAGAAATACTAATAAAGAATTTTGGGGATTATCATTTAACTTATATATGAAATCAAATTTATTTTGGTTATGAATGATAATAAATACTCGATTTAGTACTTACAAAATGGAATTAATTGATTCTTGGAGTTTATTTTTTATAAATAAGCTTTTTTATGTATGTGCTGTATTTAACCTACCAATTTAATGATTAAATAAAAATAATAACAATTGACTTCAATTATAATTAGATGAAACACATTTAGACTTTAAATTTTTGTGCATAAGTGATTAATTCTCAGATTATTTAATATATTTCCTATGACCTTAAAAATTCAGGTAAGATAAGATCCAAAACTTTAACTTTCAAAAAATTCTGATTAAAATTCAAATACTCTAAAAAATTCTAATTCTGCCTAAAAATGCAGAGTTAAACTATTTTATTGATATAAGAACAATTAATTTCTTATAAATGATTGAGCCAAAAAATACCAAAAGGTAACTAAATCTCTTTTGAGAATGCAAGCAATCTCAGGTTTTAGAAAAATACCCAAGTATTAATTGTTAAGACACTAAATTAGTTAATGTAAAAGAAATAATTCCTTAAATATGGATTAGAATCTTTAAACTTCAGTCTAATGTAGTTCTTATTGGTATGAAATTAGCAAGAGTACTTAATATTGTTTTATATAATAACTAAAACATAATAAAATTCTAAATTTAAGTATGATTTAGATTTTATTTTTGAAACAATCTTATTTAAAGATTAAATTAATTTTTTTCATTAATAAATTTTTCCCTATATATAATATGAAAATCAAAATCATGCCATTAATCCCAAAAGACCGAGTGAAATAACTGATAAGATGTAAGCACTGTCTGTGGTAGTTGTTCCATTATCTGTGTTGTTGTTAGTTCCATTTGAATTGTTTGGATTGACAGATCCTGAAATACAACTTTCACATTTATTAGTAGCGACATTCCAACTATAAGTGTAAGCTGATTTAGTGTAGCAAATCTTGGAGTCAGTCATGGTTCCTGGATCAGCAGCAGCGCATTTTCCGCTTTAGAGAACACAAACAGTGGATGAGGTTCCATCGAAGCTTGGAATTGGTTGACAATCAGTTCCTGTGGCAAAGGTATCACAAGCGTGATTAGCACAAGTTGTTCCTGTTGAGTTTTCAGTCCATTTGCATGTTGGGTTGGTTGTGCAAGCCAATTTGTCTTTGGTAGCATCGGCACATGCGGTGAAGGTCTTGCATGTTCCATTAACTTTGTCAGTTCCAGTAGGAGTGAAAGCACAAACAGTTGATTTATTGTTTTCTAAACCACCTCCGTTACATGATGTGATGGTCTTATAAGTTGAGCAAGCAGCCTTGGCAATGCAACTAGTTCCATTGGAAACACAATTCTTTCCTGCAATAACACCCATACAATTAGCATTTGATGTTCCTCCAGTGATATCTTCACATTGCTTTTATCTGCATGTCTTTGTTCCTGTAGTAGCTCCAACTGGTAATGCGAAAGTACATTCTCCGTCAGTTCCTGTGAAACATCCAGCTTCAACATAACTTGAGCAAGCAGCCAATGGGATACATTTGGTTCCATCAGTTGTGCATGATCCTCCAGTTACTGAGATAAGTTTGCATTAGTCGTTTGTTCCCTTTTATTCATCTCCACATTCCTTCAACTTACAAGTATTAGCAGTGGCGTTCCAATAGCAGATACCATCAGTTCCAAGGTTATTACAAGCTGTTTATGTCTTGTAAGTACCACAAGCTGCCTTAGCAATACAAGCAGTTCCATCAGTAATACAGGTTGGTCCATATGAGAGACATTCATCGTTGGTAGCAGCAACTGCATCTGTGCATTATCCGAACTTCTAGCATTTTCCAGTTGGTAACCATCCGCAAGCTCCATCAGTTCCGACGACGCATGAGGCCTTCAATGTTGTGCTGGCACAGTTGGTAATTGGAATACAAGTGTCTCCATTGGTTGTGCATAATGGTGAGAAACCTTAGCATTCAGTGTGTGTCTTCTTGATAGCATCTTCACATCTGTCATAATCATAGCATTATCCATTAACCCAAAGGCATGGTCCAAAGTTGGATTTAATACAGAATTATTTATTAGAGAATTCAGTACATGAAGCTCCAGCAACACAACTTGATCCATTGGTCTTGCAACCAGCAAGGAAAGTGTTACATTCATCATCTGTTAAACCGTTCTTGTCACCGCAAACTCTAGATCTGCATTTATTTGTTGCAGTATCCCAACCACATCTTCCTACTCCGTCCTTAGTTGTTGAGGCAGCAATACAGATTGATTAAGTCTTGTATGATGGACATGTTGTAATGGTCAAACAACCAGCTCCAGATGTAGTACAATTATCAGCAAAGCTTTAACATTAGGCATGAGAAGCGATTGTTGCTGGTTAATCTTCACAGACTTAAGCTCTGCATGTTGAGTTAGATTCAGTCCAAGCACAGAATTTACCATTGACTTTAGAATTGGTACATTATGAGTAACTGGTGTTATTATAAGTGGCACAAGTGGTAATAGAAGCTGTACATTAATTGGCCCATGTGCATTCTGCTCTTAATTTACAAGCAGCTTATGATGTCAAATTACTGCAGTTCTTAGTAGCTGTGCATCCATAACCTGTTGTTACACAATCCTTATGATATTTCTAGCAATCAGCATCAGTTGCAAGTGTATTTGGTGCTTCTGTGCATACTCTCTTAGCGCATGCTCCCTTGATTGTTCCAACTGTGGTAGCTTTGCATGGTCCATCTTTAGCCAAATATGTTGGGCATGTTTCTTCAGTTCCATTGAAGGTACTGCAATTCTTTCCATAATCAATGCAACCAGTTCCATCGTAGACACAGAAAGGATCATCTGTAGTCTTGAAGGGTGGCATACCATCATTACAATCCTTATTGTTTTTACCAGCAATATCACTGCATTTCTTCTTTGCGCAAACAGCTGTAGCTAATGCAGTTGAAGTATTCCAGCAATAATCCTTTCCTGAACTTCCCAAGAATTTAGCGCAAGTAGCTTAATCTCCTTTAAATCCACCGCATGATGATGTTGCATCAATACATCCAGTACCCTTTGTAATACATCCTTTCAAATAAGCAGCACAATCGGTATCTGATGAGGCTGTAATGTTATCAGCGCAAGTTCTTACTTTACATTTTCCAGTAGCTGTATTAGTAGCATCACCAGAACAATATTCATAAATTGGATTTTTATTAGCATCTAATCCAGTGAATTTTTTGAATAATTCACATTACAATTTAGTTCCTCTGTATGATGTGCATGGTTCTGAATTTGGAATACATCCTGTTCCACGTGTGACACATCCACTCAAATAAGAATCACATTCAGAATCAGATGTTGCTGTAACATTATCATAACATTTTTTGTTTGTGCATGCTCCTGCAGCAGTTGGAGTAGCTGGTGCTAATGGTTTGCATTTATCTTTTGCTGTTCCATCTAATAAGAGGTTGCAAAAATCTGTGGAGCCGTTACTTGAACTACATGCTGTAGTTGAAGCAACGCATGCTGAACCGTTTGTCTTGCAAGATTTGAGGTAACTTGAACAATCAAAGTCTGTGTAGAATGATTTGTCACCGCAAGTTCTGTCTTTACATTTTCCACCTGCAGCATCCCAAGCACATAAATCTCCTGATGAATTTGTAACTCCTTCACACCATGTTTATTTGGCTGCATCATCAGCACCTTATGCTGTGTAACCTCCACAAGTAGTTTTAGCAATGCATTTACTTGAATAATAGATACAATCTGGAGCATTACTAGCACAATCTGCAGCACTGGCGTCATTATCGGTACAAGCTTAGGCTTTGCATTTCTAAGCTGTATCTTTAATGCATGGATAATTGGTTTTTGATTTAACGGCTTTACATTATGCTTCTTCTGAACCAGCTGCGGGTCCGAGTGCTCCATCATATTTATCGCAAGTATCCAATGTGACACACTTAGTACCTTGGATAAAAGTGCATTTATTCGTTCCATCAGATAAAGCTCCACATGCAGCTGCTTTATCTGTTGCATCTGTCACATCATATTTATCGCATGTATCCTATTTCACACAGAAAGCACCAACGGCATAAGTACAAGGTTCAGTAACTGATAAATTTGCACAGTATGTTCTTTTATCATCTGCTGTTGTTCCAATAGCGGGGACGGCTGCACAGGCGGCATCATCATTTACACAAGTTCCTTTGTAATAAACACATTTTAATGCATTTGCTTAGAGATCACAATCAACTTAAGATGTTGGACTTGCAATGTCTTAACAATCAAAATCTCTGCATTTAGTGGCTCCAGCTGTAAATCCACATTTCTTACCACTGGCATTCACTTTACTCAAACAATAAGTTAATCTAGCTGCATCACCAACAGGTAATGTTGCATATGTATCACAGGCTCCTGCGCCTACACAAGCTGTTTAAGTTGTTGCATGGAATTCATCATAGGTGCAGAAAACACTTGCTCCATCTTTTGAAAAAACTTAGCAATAGGCTGTTTTTGCGCTAGCTGCCAATCCTGTAGCATCAGCAAAGGGAAGTTTAGCAGTATCAGCACAGTCTGTTGCAGCAGCAAGAGCAGTAACTTTTGGTGTTCTACATTTACTAGCTGAGAACACACATCCAATTAAATGTATATCACAATCAGCTTAACTGGTTGGGCTTGGAATATTTTCACAAGTTCCTGCTTTACACTTGGCATTATCATCTTTGATACAATATTTTGATTTATCCTTAGCTGATTATGTAACACAAAATGCATCAGTTGTTGTAGTAGCTCCATCAAATTTAGCTGATGCTGCAGTCCAAGCAGTAGATAAAGTAAGAACACAATCAGTAATTGATCCATCTTGGCAAGCTGTGCCATCTGGTTTTATTTCACAATATGTGCCTCCAGTTTTGAACATTGCCTTACAATAAATAGCCTTTTTTGTATCTGTGTCTAACTCAGCTGGGAAACTTGTTGGACAAGCGGTAACTGATGCATAACATTTTCCAGAATAATAATAACATCCTGCTAATTTGCTGTCACAATCTTTTTAACTTGTAGCTGTGGCAATAGTAGCACAAGTGTATGCTGCGCATGTATTACCAGTTGACCATGTGCATGCTGTATATGTTGCAGTTCCTAAACCAAATTTAGCTACATCATTAACAGGTTTCAAAGAGTCACAAGCTGCTTTTTTATTTGCATCACTGAGTGTTGAATCTAAAGTATAACTTGTACAAGCAGCAACAGTTTCTATGCAACCTGTGTTAGTCACCTTTTAGCATATTCCAACACCATAACCTAAAACATCATTACAAACTTAAGCAGATGTTTAAGAAACTATTTTATCACATTTGTCCTGTTTAGTACAAGTTGCATCTGCAGTTTTGAATGAACAAAATACTCCAGATGTATTCACATATTTCTAACATTGTGTTAATTTTTTGGCATCTGTATCAATTCCAGTGGGGAATGCATAGTCACAATTTGCTTTAGGTAAATAACAAAATGTTCCTGCTAACTTACATGTATCAGCTGCTGCACTTGAAACATTCTTTTATAAATAAGTAACGCATGTTAATGAAGTAGTAAATGTGCTCAAGAATTAATCACAAGTTCTAGATGCACACTTTGTTCCTGAGGCCCAACCACAAACATATCCACTGTTATCTTTGATAGTTGTACAATAATCAAACTTTTATTAATCAGTAGTGGCAGTATCAGGGGTAGAGTAACTAGTACAAGCAGCTGCATCAATGCATGGAGATCCAGCCTTTAAGAATCTACAAGTTGATTTATAATCAGTGCAATCTGAGGCTTGAGAAGGAGTTGCTTTGTCTGAACATACTCTATCTGCACAGGTATCGTATTTTGTGCATCCAACCTTTGTCCAAGATGGAGATAATCCACCGCTAAAATTGGGACAAGTAGCAACAGTTCCATTTTATCCAGAACATTATCTTGCAGATTTAGCAGCACAACCTCCTTCAGATTTTGCTATGCATCCTGTCAAGAAAGCCTCACAATCTTCGTCTTTTGTGGCTGTTGTATTATCTGTGCATTCTCTCTATTTGCAAGCACCTGATGTAGATGTTCCAAAGCAATATTTTGAACTATTGTTTCCTACAATTGCAGACTCACAGAATGCAGCAACACCTGTGTAACTTGCACAAGTTGTGTCTCCAGCTTTAGGATCAACACAACCTGCATTTCCATTATAGACACATCCATCTAAAAATGATCCACATGAACCATCAGTCTAGTTTTCTGCCAATTTGCATGTTTTAACTTTGCAAAAATCACTATCAGTTGCACTTGCACTATTGTAGCATTAATTTGTTGTAAAGTTAGTACTTGATCCACTCTTGTAAGCAAATAATTTATTGCAATTTTCCTAAGTTCCTTTCATTGATGTGCATGGAGTATTGTAATCAACACAACCTTTTCCACTAGTAATACATCCAGGTAAGAAAGTAGCGCATGTAGCATTATCTGTTGCGTCTGTATTATCTGCGCATTTTCTTGACACACAAGGAGTTGTGTCTGTAGCTGAAGCGACATTGGTACAATATCCTGGATAACTCAAACATGTAGATTATGTTCCAACAAGTTTGGCACAGTCATATTTGGTTATGCAAGCATCAACTCTATTACTAATACATGTTGATAGTTCTGCTGCACAATTTGCATCAGTGTTGTAAAAAGCTCCGGTTAAATCTGAACAAGCCAAATCTTTGCAAGCATTATTCAACCAACCACATTTTCCTGTTACATAAATGTATTTGGGATTTCCTGAATCATCTACTCCATCTTATGTTTTAATTCTGGCTTAATTTGCTAAACAAATTGATTTTTTCTTATAATCACTACATTATGTATTACTAGTACAAATTGGTTACCATGAGCAATTATTTGTACCTTCACAACTTTATTATTTGACAGTTGCATCACATGTAGTTTATGAAACACATCCAGATCCAGTTGTAACACAATTAGTGAAATAATTGGCACAAAGTGGGTTAGTATTGACATTACTTGCTGCAGATGCACAATCTCTAGCAACACATTTGGTTCCACTCTTCCATGTACATTTTCCTTCAGTTCCTACTCTAGATTAGCAACTTGTGGTATCTCCATCATAAGTAGTACAAGATTTCAAGTTAGTCTTTGTAACGCATCCTTTTCCTGTAGTAACACATCCAACTTAATATTTGGCACATGCATCGTCTGTTGTAGTTGTATCTGGAGCTTCGTCACAAACCTTTGGTGCACAAGCAGCTTCAGTAGTTGTACTTGTTCCTTTACAATATCCATCGGTACCAATATAGACGGCACAAGTGGTGGCAGTTCCTTTATATGTATTACAAGCTGATAATGCTGAAACGCATGCTTTTCCATTTGTCTTACAACTGCTTTAATATTATTTGCAAAGATCATCAGTATTGAATGCTCCATTTTCGCATTTTCTAGCTCTACATTTAGAACCTCCAGCATCACCTTCACAAACTCCATCTGATCCAATATATCCAACACATGTAGTGTTATCACCTGAATAAGTTGAGCATAATGGTTTTGTTGTTGCCAAAACACATCCTTTTCCTGTTGTAATACATCCTCTTTAATAGGCCTTACAGTCATCATCAGAAGCTAATGATGTTGGTGCATTTGCACATTCCTTTGCTTTACAGTTAGTTGTTCCGGTTGCTAATTCACAATTTCCATCTGATCCAATGAATGATTAACAAGCAGCATCATCTCCAGTGTATGTAGCACATGCAGGTCTTGGAGCATTAACGCAACCTTAACCTTTAGTCACACAACCAGCTAACCAGCTTGAACATTTAGCATCAGTATTTAAGGTAACATCAGCCTCTGAGCAAGCATAATCTCTGCAAGCTCCAGCAGTTGTATCCCATTTACATTTCAAAATGCCTGAGATACTTGGAGTAGACTCACATTATTATTATGTGTAAGCCTTACACTCCTTAGCCTCAATACATGAATTTCCATCACTAACACAAAAATAAGATATAGCCTAGCAATCTGTTGTTGTAGTTTTAACATATGCTTGGCATCCAGTGAAATGAGTACATTTGGAGTCAACGTAAGCACATCCCAAAGTTTTAGCACAGTTGGTTTCAGGCTTATCAACAAGTTCACAATAAGGTTTGAATGAAGCAACTGGATCGACTGTTGTTTTCTTTTAGCATTTTGCTGCTGTTGTTCCTGAAGCAGCTACCCATTCACATGCTCCTGTAACTGTTACTTCTTATTCACAATCATTCTGTGATTTTAGTTATCCACAATCATTACATTTGTTTGTGTGTTAAACTTGCTATGCTAAGACCATAGCTAATAAGCAAATGAAAATTAAATTTTTCATTAAAAGTATTAAAATTACATTTATAAGGAAAAAGGTTTTATTTAGGGAAATTTTAATTTTTTTTAAGATATTAATGTGATAATATTTTTATCCAAATTAATTATTCATAATTTAGATTTCATTTTAATTCTTATAATTAATTAATATAATTTTTGCTTTATATTTCAATTTACGAAGGCACTAAAAAGTCGGTTTGATAAGGTAGTTAAGTTGTTCATTAATTTTCTACTTAGATCGCTTCGTTCTGTTACATTATATATTGTTGTTTTTTCGAAATTTTATAAAAAAATGGGTATTAGAACAAACTTAACAAAATACTCTAATGAAAAATAAATAAAAGATCGAATCACAGCTTGAAGATTAGCGAGATTCAATATACAAATTACTTATAGGTAACTTTAATTAACCGAAATAGAAGAAAAGAAGTTGGAATAAATTGAATTGATTTAAGGTATTCCCTTGATCTATTCTCTTTTGGATAATATGTTTAAGCACTAGGAATACTAAAATTTAAGAGATATGTGAAGGTCAACATTTCTTAAATAAATGGTGATTATGAATTCATATTAAGATGAGTTTAAAGAATATTTATATAATAACTGTTATACTTTTAAATACAATGAAGGAACATGAGATCGCTAAAAGGAAATTTTTACAAAATTTTTAATAATCTTAATTGTAACTGTTTAATGGATGAAGTAATGAGAGGCCTTAGCTATGCAAAATGTTAAATCATAAATTACATCTGATGAGCTTAGAATATATTATGCGAATAAACCATCATCTAAGCATCCAATCAATGTTAATTTTTATTAGTTTTTTAAATTAAATTTATGCACACATTAATCAAAATGGGAAATTAAAAATAAAATTGAGTTAGCATAATTATTGAATTATATAAATATTTTTCTTTAGCAAAAGATACAATTAAAATTGACAGCCTGATATCGCTTTAACAAGTAAGAAAAACCTATAAATGTCAAAAATCAATCATTAATCCAAGCATTACTTAAATAAAATTATGGTCCCCTAAATCGTCAAAACAGACTTTCTCAATGAAGAAACTTGATCTCAATATGTGAGTGAAGTGATTTAGAATGAAAAGAATTAGAATAATCACGAATCGTTTTCTTTTTTTTTTTCCTTCTAAAAATAACTAGTTTATTTTTTTTTGGGTTTCCTTCATGGTATATTATTTTTCTACCCCAATAATTACGATTAGGAGGGGCATGAAATGCTTTCCCAAAAATATCTGAATTATTTTCCTTAATTTTCAATAAATATATTTAAATCAATAAATAATTAAATTAGGACTTGAAATATTCACTATATAAAGTGAAATATAAAAAGTTTGAACTAAATAAAAATTAACTGGCTGAGAAAAATAGGAAAGAATTAGAACATTTCCTTATGTAACTATTGTTAATGAAATAAATTAAGAGGGTTAATGAAGGACACCAAGAATGAAATAAAAAGAAATTAATTAACAACTTTATTCATATTACTCGATTCATAATATTCGAAATAAGTCTCTTTTTCCATTATTATATGAGCAAAAAATTGATCTGTTATAAAACTTCTAAAGTTTATTTCATTTAAGGAAATCAGAATTAATTGATAAAAGGGATCATTTAAATTATAATTTATTATTTTAGCATAGGAGAGAAAGCGTACATAATATTCGAATATCTATAATGATATTCTCCTCATTATTCTTTTATTTTTATGTTGGATTGATTGCATCAATTGCTGTAACAATTTTATACAAAATCTTATTTAACTGTATTTATTTTAGTATTCTAATATTTGAGATATTTCTTTAGAATTTGCTAAGGGTAAAAAAAAGAAATTATGATTAGAAAAAAATATTGTTGACGCTTCATTCAAGTGCTTGGTTTATTAGGTAACAATATGTATGACATTATATATGTAAATTTAAAAAATGACCAAAGTTTATCAATTCTAAATCTTTTTGGGTGAATGAGATAGATTCTTCATACATAGCAATAAACTAGGTACTTCTCTTTGTATGCCAAGTTATGAAAATTTAATCATCATTAGTTTAAGATTGCCTTTCACTCTTTAAAATGTTATAACCCCAAGAATCTTATAATATCATATAACACTAATGATTAGACAGTTTATATAAAAATAAAATAGTTAAATAATTTTCTTTAATTTTGATGAAATCCTTAGTAAAAAAGTGCAATATATGATTTGATGAGTAGATAAATGTATGAATGGAGAGATTCATAATTTACAATAATATTGTTAATTTGACAATTTTAGATTGAAAGTGTCGCATTTCATTATTTCATTTCTTTATTGTTACACTAATCTGATTATTTGTTTTCAAATATTTAAATCTAAATGCTTCTAGCCAATCATTTTATGTTGAATTATCTAAAGGTGATTGATTTATTAATAATTATTATAATAAATATAATGGCATAGTAGAAAGGGAAGAATAAAATAAATCACAGATAGCGGTAGGGAGACTGGATTTGTGATAGCTGCAATAATATGAATTTTGCATTTAGAGATACATGCAATAGATGTCATAATTAGAAGAATTATAAAGAGAATGAAAATAAGGGATTCAAATCCGCTCTATTCTTGACAGAGAGCAATGGTGATATTCCACCAATATCTGATAGATCTAATAAATCTTCTGGAGATAAAAAAGATAATGGTAATAATAAGTTCTCATTTGATAAATTACCATCTATGGAACCGATCTTGAAATAGATTACAAAAGAAACATGTAAAAAACAATTAAATTAGAAGAATAAAAAAAATATGATTTATTTGAGTTTGAATGGCAGTGCCAAAAATGTGAAAGAATTAATTAATACTATAAAATTCACTGTGCTGAATGTGGTGCTTAAAGGTACAGAAAATTAACAGTTTGATTTTTATAACCTTAATGGGGGTTTTTTGATAAAAATGGTCTCAATTCTCTTTCTTTTTATTCCCTAATTTAGAAGGGGGTTGTACAAAGATAAACAAAATAATAAATAAATAATTTTTACTTTATTAATAAAATTTAACTGTTAAGATAATGAAAGACATGTCCAAAAAGATCTTCGAAAAGGAGAATTAAGCTGAGGTGTCTAATAACCCTAGACATTAGAATAAATCACTAACATAATTAGTCTCACTATCATTGATTGGTGGAAATAGAAGTAATTGATTAATAATATTCTTTAAGAAAATGAATTTAAGAGTATAGATCTTAAAAACAATAATACATCTATTTCCTCCCGTCCACTAGTATTCTGTAAGCCAGAGCCTAAATTAAAAACTTTAACAACTTCTTCTCCATAAAAATAATCCCCTATAAAACCAAAATAAGTAGAAACACAATCAAATGAGTTGTGTAAACTAATTAACAATTATTCAGAGCCTATTCTAGATTATTACTTGGATTTAAATGTACATATTTATAAAATCAACAAAAATAGAATTAAACACCAAAAAACTTTTTGTCCAATCACACAGTAAGTTCAAATCTGAGAGCAAAGATGATTGATTGGATGGTTGAAGTACTTACTTCATATAAGTGCAAAGATTAAACCTTCTTTTTAGCTGTTAAGTTGATGGATTCTTATCTATAGAAAACACCGTAAAAGCATATCCCTCAAGATTTACATTTAGTTGGCGTGACTACTATGTTCATGGCTTGTAAATTTGAGGAAATCTACCCAGTGAAATTATAAATTGTACATGAGAAGATTGCACACAAGAAATTAACCAAGGATGAGATTAAAGATAAAGAAACAAACATTTTAACCGCTTTAGATTTTAATTTTATTGGGATTACTGTTCTTGATGTCATTACGATAGTACTCTCCATATTGAATATGAATCAATAGTTATATTAAATAACATTATATCTTGCTAAAGTGGTAAATACATTAATTTATTCAAGGCACTTTATGACTATGAATTTGTTAATAATCACACGTATGTGCAAATTGCATGTTCAGCTTTGATTGTCAGTTCAAAAATTGTAGAGTAAATTGATTAAACACTGTCATCTGAAGTAGTTATACCATTGATAGTTTCAACTTTGAAAATGGACAACTCTGATGCCATGGATTCAGCTAATAAACTATTGAATTTAGCCAAAGGATTTGATAAATAATATCCAAATCTGGAAAATTTAAGGAAGTTTAGTAAATTTCAATTGTCAGATATGTTAACAACCCAACCCTGACTATTACCTATTACTTTTATATGTTAATATTATTGTATAAATGGTTAAATTGGCTTGAAATAGATGGAAGGTGGAGAAAGTCATCGAATCTACCTGGAGCATATAAAACTTGATATTTTTGCATCCTTCTTTTCTTATTTCATCTCATTGTTTAAAGGAGGAATCCAATAAATACATAAATGAAGAATTAATATATATCATCAATGATAGTAAAATTGTGATAGACTATAACAGTGATGCCATTCAAGAGAAGACTAAACGATGACGATGATAACGAAAGGGAAGGAATGAAACTGAAGATCATCAGAGGACTGGAGGAGGTGTAGAATGTAAATGTTGAGGTTGAGCTGCACTTACTAAAAACAAAGGGTTTTCTAGTAGCATACCTTGGTTATAAATATGACTGTTGTCTTAAGAAGTCCAGAAGTATTTGAATTATGAGATCTGAGCACTCATAGCCTTTTCTTTGTTTTGTTTAATATAAATTTAACATAATATTCTTATTGTTAAGTATTATTTTGTGATTAATATGCTTATTTTTGATTAACAAACTAAACTTTTGGTTAGTATGAATAATAAACAAACTATAAACTTTATAGACTTTTAAATATATTGTGTTAAAACATAATCGATGGTTAAGTAGATAATTCTAAGAACATCAGAATTTTAAGCATTTTTCTAATTGGAGATTGAGATCAGAAATGAATACATAATATCTCATCAAATTCTGAGAAAAGAGTGAGGCAAAGGGTAAAAGTAAGGGTATGATTAGATTTGTTAGAAAGGGTAGGGACTTGTCGATACTGAATCAAATTCCTTTTGAGCTTAAATTTAAGGCTTAAAGTCTAGAATTTGTTTGAACACTATCTAAGAGGAGAGCAACATGTTTTGTATGAGTGATTGTGAGGCTAAATTAGTATTTTTAATTTCTTAAGTTAGAGCCTGGGTCAGCTTCTGATATTGGGATGATATGAGTTATTTCTGTTCATTTGCTATATTTAATTGATCCTCGTGAGTGGGCTGCTTATCCACATAGATCTAGGCCTTCGATAAATACAATACTTGAGTGGTTTCAGATTGCACACACAATGGTTGAACTTGGAGAGTGAGGGGATTCAAGACCGACACTCTAACAATGCTCTCAACTTTCAGTTTCTTTTTCCTGGTTTCTTTCTTTCCAATACGACCGTCCTGTTCGAATGCTTTTTGAATTGTTCTGACTGTACAGTACTTTAAATGAAGTCTGTTGGCTACCTAGAAATGAATCGTCAAAAATGCAATATATAGTGGTATTTAGATAAGGAATTTAAGGAATATGGAGAATACCTCTTAAAGGGATAATTTTTCTTTTAGTAATAAGTCTAGGACTATTCTGCGTTAGTCTCGATCTATTTTTTGATACTTCTTGGTGTGCTTGAGTTAGGATGAACATTCTTGTGATTTAACCATATTTAAGGAGGAATCTTGTCTCTTTATTTATATTTATAATAATATTTTAAAATCAAATCTGGGTTTTTAAATTAAAATATGATTCACCTGAAGTTATAATAGAGACATTAAAATATTTCAAGATTAGAATTTGTTGATTCAATAAGACCTATTCATTATTTTGGATAGAAATTATGGTGAATCAACGTAAGCAATTTCCCATTAATAAAATAATTAATTATTTCTTTTTTTATAAAAATATTAATATTACCTACAATGAACTTTTTAATAAATATTTTTTATAATTTAAAAATGACGAAAACATAAATTTAGTATATAAATCAATTAATAGAAGATAACTCTAGTTTATTTTTGATTTGCTTATGTTCACTAACACTCTTCTTCTACCTATTGGCATTGCATGTAATTTTTTGTTTGTTGGAAATAATATTGAAATTATTAACGAATTACTTGCAATGATCATAGTTCTATTCAGTGACTTGCTGAGAGATGGTCTTTGAGTTTTATTTGCTTTGGTCTTTTTTATAAATTGAAGAAGTGTCAATAGTATTACTGAGATAAGGTTCCTTGTCATTAGGCACTTTCTGCTTGCGAATAAAGTCAACTAACTTCAGAGGCTATTTGCTTGAAATAGTTTAATGCTGATAATCATTTGTCTCTTATATTTTCTTCTTCAGAAATGTATTCTCTTCAATTAGATATTTGTTTTATTCTTGTAAGACAGCAATTTCTTTCTTGAGTTGCTAAGTAAATGAATTGAACTTATACGTGATTCATGTTTTTGTTTATATTATTTTATTGAAGTTATTCTAATTATTGTTAGAGCTGTTCACAGTATAGTTTAATTTATTGCTCTGTCTAATAATATATAATAAATGCTAAACTCTAATGTGTTTTCGTATTTCTCTCTCGTACTTCTGGACTTATTTCTCAAGTTCCTGATAATCTTGATTCTGTAAATTTTGGAGTATGGCTTCTTTGATGAACAGGAGCTGGGAATCTAGATCTTAGAAAGTGTCTGAGGAGGGGCCTTCTAACTTATAAGGGTAGTATTTTACTCATACCAGCTTAAGTATGTCTTTTAATATATTTTAAGACATTTTAATTATTTAAGATATGAATAGACAACTCGTGCAGATGTTTAGAAAATAATTCTTTTAAGTACCAAAATACTTTGCATCGAATGAACAACCAATCATTTTGAGAAATGAAAAATCTGGCTATTATGTGAATCCAGAAGATGTTGCCCGTCGAATGATAAAGGTGATTAGCTTACATGACGACGTAAAGAATCCCTCTGGAATCACTCTACAATCTACATGGACTGACATCGGTTTGTCAGACATGGCCTACGTAGAGGTACATAACATGAATTTAAAATTAGGTAATGGTAGAAGTTGAAAGAGAGTTTGAAATAGAATTTCCAGATATTGATGTAGAGTGTTTCAGAACTGTCAATGACGCTGTAGAGTATGTGGCAAGAAGCTTCTTCGCTGTTTGATTTAAGCACATATGATATAATAAAACACAATGCTAATATTCTTAATAATTAGTGTAAGTGCTGTAAAGATCACACTATTCCAGGCTGATTCTGCATTCTACTCTATCCAATTCTATCTAATGCGCAATGCTGATAGAGAAGGTAAATATTGATCAGATACTCTCTTCGCGTTATCTGAAAATGGAAGAATTTACAAAAGCGTTGACAATCAGTATAAGTGGAGTGATGAAACACTTTTCCTAGAAAAGCTGGGCATAAAAAGATTGGTTTTATGAGATACAATCGTCTTCTGCCAAAAAGGAAGTATTATATATTTTTGGTAATGATGGCAAGAAATAAGATCTGAGGAATGTGGATCACACCACACATCATTTAAATTTGCAAGTATTTACACTGATTTTAAATTGAATTCTATGGATTACAAATAGATGCTGGCATTTCCTAATTATGATCAATGTCATGTCACGCTCCTTTTATCAAAGATGCGCACAAATCTAATGATGATAGCAAAACTTTTTATGTACATAAATATCAAAATAACTGGCTTAAATAAGAAGAGAGAAGGAATTATTTTAAATGTGGATTTTACTACTTTATATTAAAACACTTGTCGTGGAATTCGGGATACTTTTGATTCAGAAGGTGATTACGCAATTTGGGTAAAGTTGCTGAAATAATATATTAATATGGATTAACCCTTATATACCCATAGCCACTTTATTTGAAGAGGATGTATACATTGACATTTAGAAACCAAATGCGAGTTGTAATGTTACTTATAAGAAATCTTAGGGGAGACTATTGAACAAGAGGGTATGATAACATAAACAAATAAATAGTTTTGACTTAGATCCATTAGAAACACCATTTTAGGGTTGATTTATAATAAAGCTTATTAAATCAAAATAATCCCTTACCACAACTATCTATTAGAGATGATAAGAAAATGGTGTAAGATCATATGAATGAAAATGGAGAGGAGAAATAAAAGATATTAGGTAAAATAGAATACCTTTTTGATGTTGAGAATCTGATTAGTAGTTTTACATTGTTTGGGTTTATAATTGTGAAGTAATAAAGGGTTTAGGAGAAAAAAATGATTATTCTTATGGTTTTGAGAGGGGAGAACGAGTTAGTATGAGAGAGGATGGCGATTAAAATTGATCGTCGGGGTGTATTTAAAGTTAATAGAAATTTATAAAAATATAAAATATAAATAAAAAAAGATTAATGGCCACATAGTTTCAGCAGAAGAGATTATAGTTTGAAGAAGAAAACTTATAAGAGAATGCCGATCAACTTCCTCCAAACTGCTCTTATAAAAAGACAGGTCCCTTAACCTACATTGTTTAATATTAAGGTGAGAAAGGCACTCCGCATGAGGGTAATGATATGGATTAAGGCAAACATAGGGGCGTACATAGTAGTTGATGTTGATTTGAATGGCACTAATGGATCTCCTGGATTCCCTGCTGAGGCTCCAAACATCACATTCCGAAATGGGTTCTAGCATGTTAATGTTTATCCGATGGGCAGATTATGCATGTATCTTTCAAACAAGGAAACATTTACTTCAGGCACAACTCTCTTAGAAATCTTTTCAGGCATTAATCAAGTCATCCATCAGTATTATTGTCACATTATACGATCAGTCCCACATTCCATGATCCAGCCAATGCATCTATATTGATTTAAGAGGGAGGAAAGGGCTACGATGAGAAGATGAGAGACTAGGCTAAGAAATTGAGTTAACCATAATATAAAGTGTTGTGAAAGAAAACAATAATAAATTATATATGATATTTCATAATCATTTATAATCAAAATTTGGTTATCTCAAGTCTTGTCGAGTTATTTGAAAAGGCGAAGGACTTTTTGTGATCAGATCGCTAAGAGGAGACATCCAGAGTTTTTGGTGAAGGGAGTCTAGTAGTCGATTTGGGTAAACTATTGACACTAATAAAGGAATTCAACTTCTTAGAATTTAATTCATCCCTTTATTCGAGATTCGACACCATCATATCCATTAAGTGTTTTTGCGCAGCCTAATACTCTTTGTTCTGCCTCAAGACAGGGTCCATTCTATCAAAGATGGTGGCATTGTAGGTATTCAACATTAAGGTATTGCGTTTGATGAACTTTGGAGACAGGCCTGCTTCATCAGTCTACAGATTCAATAGCTTCTTAGGTATCGACAATTATTGTTGGACCTTCTGATGTCTCAATTTCATCTAATACTTCTGTTGATTTAGTTATAGCTTCTTCAAATCCTGATTCTCCTTCATGATCAATTGAGCCTGATCCTTCTGTGTATTATGATAATCAATCTTCTGGAGTTCGATGTATTCTTGTAACTTGCTGTATTGTTATTACAGCCTCTCCAATTAGATGTCCGAGACCGAAATCGATTTCATCAGACTCTTGGTAACAGGCATCTCTTTATGAACTTCCCATTCGGCAGCTATGATCTTCTTGGCAGTTTCCTTGACTTGATCGAGAGTTAGGCATTTTTCAAAAGTAATAGATTCAATTTTTTGATTAAAAACCTAATCGATCGATTTAATTTGATTGGGATGTTCGAGCTTATGCAGCGTTTCTTCTAAGCCTCTCAGATGTTTCTGAAGATCTGTCTCCACATTCATTTAACTTAATTTATAATCGGATAGACTTCTTAGATATATCAGTTTGCTTAAATAGCTCTGATTCTCTTAAAATTTCTTCCTTTTCTGCTTATGAGGTTTGGTGATTTGTCTCTGCGTATTGTCCTTACTACACGATGGTGTGTTGGGCATAAACAAACTTCCATCTCTGGTGGGTTCTTTGGAAAGATCCTTCATGGGTTTGAAATCACTTTTGGCTCTTGGGTGATGGAGGATGTACACACTTTTATTGTTGATGTCATATTTGCTTTGATGGGGGAACTGCGGTTTTTATTCAAAATGGTGTTTTTTTTCGAATCCATATAAGAATGAAACAAATTGATTAAGATCCTATTGTTCAAGGATGATCTGCTCATATTTTTCATGTTTGTATTCGTATTCGTATTTGATGTAATTGATTAATTCGTCTTGTTTGCCTACAAAGGTCAAGATGTGCTGACTCAAATAATTGGCCATGGAGATCATCAATGCGGATTCGTCGTATTTGTCCTTGTATTCTAGTGACTTACTTTGCAAATCCAAATTAATAATCAACAACTGAGCATAGAGTTTCATTTGTCGCTTGCATTTCTTCTGATTGGAATTGGGTCTGTAGTACTCACGCAAAGCATCTATGAGCATCTCGGAGATGGGATCAAAGAATTGATTTTGAAAAACGTAAGAGTTCTCAAAGTAAGCGGAGTGAAGGAGAGTGAGGGCTTCTTGATAAAGGGTAACTGATTTTTGAGTTTTCACAAATTTCAGTTGGATCAGTTTGTGTAAGAAGCGGCTGGCTTCTTTGAGATTGGTCATTTTGAAGTACAAATAGTTGAACATTAAGATCTATTGGATGGAAGTGAAGAGTTCCTGTTCATGATATCTCAACCAGAGGAGAGACTTCTTGTCCCATGGTTCGTGTTCAAATTCAATTAGGAATTGTTTGAGTTTCGAGTTGCCTCTGGGGGATTGCATATCTCCCAACAACTTGTACTTACTCTTGCGGTTGGAAGGATTTTGATGCTCAGTAAGGACATCTTGGCATTTGGCTATGTAATTCTGCATGGTATGGCATAGTTGCATGCATTGATCCAGTTAAGTGAGGATCCGTCCCTGTTTCGAATTGAACTTGAGAAAATGTTTACGCATAATTTTCAATCGACAATACAGCAATCGACGTATCAATTACATTTGCAGTTGGACTCCAGGCAGTTCACTCTGTTAATAATGATGAGTGAGGTGTTTCTCAGAGATGTTTACAAAGCATTTATACTTTCCTTTACGTAACATCCATTACGTTTCATAAATGTGAAATTCCAATACTTGCATATGGATTATTTTTGGAAAATAATAATTAATAACTAGAACCTCAAAGATATAGCTTCTCTACTTAGAACAATCAACCATTTAAATTTATTTAACAAAACAACTAATTAAATCATACTGCTTTCACTTACTCCCATTCCTCATCCACAGTTGCATTCTTTGGTTTCCCTAATTTCGCTTATTTCCTCCTCAATATCACCTTCCTTATGCCCAAAAATAACACCATCAGAACCAAAAAGGTCGCTGCTGCAATTCCAATCATCATCGCATAGTCCTCATTCTTGTTGATGACATCCTCCTTCTCCTCGATCTTAACATCTGATTGGGTCCCATTGTAAATCAAACTAGTGTTATAGAAATAGGTATAGGGGGAGTCATATCCCTAATAGAAGGCTTAGAACACAATCAGGCCATAAAGCACCTTTTAACTCTGAGGTCGAGGCACTAAATTAATGGTATTTTAATTCTTTTACCTTGAAAGGTTACCTTCTCGTTCTCCTCCTTGACTGTCTATAAGGATTTGCTATGGTACAGTTAATTGCTAGTGTAATATTTGAGAGATTCAATGTCCATTTGGCAACCAAAGGCATTCATAAAGTTCTCTTGATTGGAGTAATGCAATTGGTAACTACGTAATATAAATTTGAATATTTACATAAGCATCTTGAGTTCTAATAGTCCTGTCTTGTTTCTGCTCATCGTGTCCACAGTAACAATAAGTGTCTGATTCTCCTTGTTCTCTTCCACTTGATAAGTGATACTCTTATTGAAGTACCAAGCATCGTGAGAATATTGTAGATGAGGTACCAAACTGTAGATGTTCTTCCTTATGGATAACCCCTCTTTTGTGTAGCTTGCAAAGGAGGTTGGAGTTACATTGAAATAGATATCACTCAAGTTGTTAAATTGATAGGAACTAATATTGCTTTAAGTTTGGCCTAGGCAATCGATCTTTTCAATGAGCAATTCTTGTCCTTTTGAACCAAAAATATTGTAAATTTATGCGGATTAGATTTGTTCAACATAATGCTAATTAGAATCGATGTATTTCAAACCATCCAAATTTAATGTGATACTGTATTGCCCCTTACATGACAAGGTAATCTTATAGAAATAATTCACACTGGGCAATTAGTATTTCAATTCCACTTGCGATTAGCTTATGCTCCATTCTTATACTGGATTTATCAATATAAATTCACTCACATTCTTGGACATATAAAAGAGTTCCACTCTGACAATGGATTGCGAATTCACAATCACAGTGTACCATTATTCTACTGTGATTGGTGTGAATGTGAATTGCGTAACATTCTATTCAGCTGTGTTGTTGCCCTTGTATGATTTACCTAGGTGCAAATCGACAAAGTTCTATTCGCTCTATAGACTCAACCAATACGAAGCCACTTGATTTGCATGAGGATTGACAATACTGACTATATGTGATGAATTAATTGGAATAATGTGTTGAGAATAACTAAGATTCATGCTGTACAAATAGGTGTCCTCGTCATAAAAGTTCAACTCAATACTTTATGAATACACAAAGATGTTCAGATCGCCAGGTTCAACGTAATACTTACAAGTATCAACACATTGATCATAGTAGATCCTTCCATACTCAACATCCAGTGGTATTGAATTATAAGCTATTAATAGTTGAATGTCAGCACTCCTCAAAGGTTTCAAGGCTATGATGTAAGTGCAATAATAGCAAAAGTGTTTATTTGTTTGGTTTATCTAAATTATACCACCAAAGAGGTTGTCGTTGTGTTTCTGAAGTATTTGGATGTCATCTGTTCCGTAATAAGGGAGGAGATCAAAAAGACCATCCTCGCTATCATTATACTGGGAGTATGTATTGATGGCCACATCGACGTTATTCATTCCTTGAACCATTATGCGGAAGGACTCCTTTCGGATATGCTGATAGAAATAGTAAACTGTCTGATTGATGTGATGCCCCGCAAATTGACCATTTGATATGTAATACAATTCAATGTCGGCAAAATTTAACAGCAACTCATAAGTGCATTCCTTTCTGAATCCTAAAACTCCGATTATGTAGGATCCAACGTTGTCAGGCTCTCTGATTATCAGAATGTCTGATTTGTATGACATAGATTTATATGTGTTGGAATCTTCAGTTGGGTAGGAGATCTTATCATCGACTAGTTTGTTCACATAGATATCTGGATCACAATCATCTATGGGTCTGGCTGCAATTTGAATGAATTACACAGGGTTGTCTACGTAGAAGTAATAATAGGACATGATATTCTCTCCGGAATGACCAATCAACATTTCTCCATTGCGAATTATTGAATACTCAGTAGATATCATTATATTGAAATAGCCGTCCTCTCCATCCACTGTCGAGATGTTGTTGTAAGAGTTGCCAAAGATGTAAGAATATAATGACTATTGATCCAATTTCACACTTATCAATAACACACATCCTTGTCTATAATTCTTGCATTTCTGTAAATCTGTCTATTCGATGATCAACAATTTATTAGACACACTGGCACTGATCTCCTCTTCGATGTCGTAGCTAGAAGAAGTGGGGAATATGCTGTGGTTGTTGTTTTTTAGATCTTTAAAAACAAGGGAATAATCTTTAATTGAACAGAACAATTCAATCTCAGTAAAAAGAGTGTATGCTTAGATTTGAATGGTGTTATTGAGATCCTTTGGAACCACAAAATACAAATTAGATTATTGATATTATTCGAATGAAGGGATGGGTACCTACTACACAGTATTATCCAATAATTCAGTGATACCAGACACTCCTCGAATTAATAAGGAATATTCATTGTATCCAATACTCTCAACACCTATGTACACAATCATGTTTTCTGTGATATTGTTCAAAGTCAAGTAGGTAGATGAATCCAATAATTCGAAATCGCAGTTGTCTTTACTTGGAAATTTATTCTTCGTGCTGACATACACTTTGAGATAGTTCTATTCGTTCACTTCGGTTGTATATGTTCTGATTACAAAGAGCTTTTCTAGAGTGTAGGGGGACAGATAGTAATAAAAGGATTAATGTTTGTTGTCCAATTGAGTAATGAGTGGGTCTCCATAGAACAATTCCATGAGGGAACTTGAAGTGGTGAATTGAATTTCATAGGATTCGTTGAGACCTAGAGAAACTGAGCTGACTTGAACATAGTAATATCGCTTGGGATTTTCGATTATGAGAGTGTGTTATGAGCTTCTGAATGAAAAATCATATTGACTTTCATCAGGAACTTTATCTCCGATGATTCCATTGGTGCCAATTATGTAGCAGATGAAATAGCCATAGATCCCATTGAGATGAATGAAGAGTGGACCATTCTGTCTTTACTCAAAATTAAAATATGTTGCCTAATCAATCTTGGTCTGTAAATGAGTGTAGGAGATGCTTTCAGTGAGATGAATGTAATTGATCTCCTCATGTGATTTCCTATACACAAGAGGAGTTATGGAGTATCTGAGTAAAGCCTTGGCCACTATTCGAATGTAATACTAGCCAGCCAAAGTCTGGATAGCAGGTTCTGCCTTATATTACAAGACATCCAATTCCATGTTAGCATATCTATCATAGAAGGTGGAATTGGGTTTATCATAGGTTCTTGAAGCATAAGCTTCATATTCTCCAGTGATGGCTGTTATTTGGAACACTACTTCAGTTAGATCCTCTTCGTCGATTGTGAATGAATACAAGTCTGTGTCATACTCCAACAGATAACTGCGATGAGTTGATGACTCTGTTAATTCAATGTGCTATTCTTATCCCTTGATGTATATTTGGTAATTCATGTGTTCAACATTACTGTACACTCCAACCACGTATTGACAATTAGTCTCCTCATTCTCGTACTTGAGCATAGTAACATTAGTCTCGCACTCACTCTTATTGTAATTGAACTATATTATGCTTTCAGCTGAATACAACTCTGAAATCCCTTATTTCAAGTATTGCACATCTTAGAGTTTGTCTATCTGCTCTTTTGTGATTGAGCAATTGTAGAAGTTATCTGGTCCTGCATTCACAATGTAATTAAATTGGTTCTCCACCGAATTCAATTCTGTCTTATTCTTTATGCATTTCTTCAATATGATCATACCATGTCCTGTGGGATAGCTTGCAGTTATAGTAAATGTTTAGTTGAGTTCATCGTGGATCCTAACGATGTACTCTGCGAATTCATTCTACACCAAGAACCCGGATTCAAATGCATAAATGGACAATAATCTACTGTAGTAATTACTCAAGTAGGCTACGAATGAATAACTTGAGAATTCATCGACTCCATTTATAGCAATAATGAATAGACTCTCATTCCCATTATTAATCCTATTTTAGGGAGATATCGTGATAGACTCATAGCCTAGATCTAATTGTGATTGCCATGGGTAGAGTTTGTAATCCAAAGAACACTCCCCTTTATGACAAGGTGATATATATATATCAGGATTACCTTCAAAGGGATGGATGTCAAAAGACAACGAGTTCTCTTCCAGAAATTCCAAGTAATCATCACTAACTATCAACTTATAGTAATTAGTCCTCTTATCTAATACTAAGTCATCGGTTCTTTCAAATAACTCTATTTCTCTGATTCGTTCATAAACTGTTGTAATAAAATACAATCTAGAATGGGGGACTCCCAACAACAACACAGTCAAATTCCCTATAAGATTGGTACTGTTTTTGTAGATGACTGCTCCTTTTCCTACCATCCAAATCTCCTCTGCCTCATACTAAAATTGCATAGGGGATGGAGTTTCATTTCCTTCGTTGATGTAGAAGTGGAAGGACTCATTCAATAGAGTGTTCCTGTCTTAGATGTAGTGAGCTCGGATTAGGATTCTATCGACTCCATCCATTGAGTTAGGCATACCGATTTTTAGGATGCTTTCTATTTCATTATCGAATTTGACAATGACTGCTTCTCCCAATTCCAAGTCTTTTTCCTCTTCATAATGGATGGTTAATTCATAATCACAATCCTATAAACAATATACTCCTAAATAGTAAGTCACATTAGCAATCAAATCCTTTTCTTCGATTACACAAACATCCATTCCCTTATTCCCACACAACTCATCGTAGATGGTTGGACTAAATAAATAAGGATTCAATACTAATTATTCTCCTTACTGATGTAAAGGGAGGGGAAGGAGCTTTGATCATGAAGAGCTTTCAACACTACGAAAACGTCCTCATTAGGTATCACGTTCTAAACACGGAACTTATAGAAATGAACAGGATAAAGAACAAAAGTTGATGTACCTGGCACTTTACTAATATCCAATTATCAAACACCAATACCCATAAAACTCGTATTGTTTCTCTATCTCCAATTCCATAATTTCTTATTCGAATGGCTGTGATAACGTCAGCTAAAATAGCAAGATCAATATTAACATATTAAAATGAATTAATAAGCATAATTTAGAAGGACTTATCAGATGGGCGCACAATTTCGTTTGAGAAGCTTACAATAGGAGAACATGCCCTTTGAAAGCCCTCGCAAATAAAGCAAAACAACTAGAAATGCGAATTTGAAGAAGAGATTTCAAACTGAATAGATGACTGTATTATCGAAAATAGAATTGTCTCATCATGGGAAAGATCAAGTGGAATTGATCTACGAATCCTACCCTGTTATTTAGGAAAGAATAACGAGAACCACTAGGAAGACGTAACCAAGATTGATTGTCTAATCCCCTTAATTTAAAATGTTACATTAAACTAGCAAGACGATTTCTTTTCATCAAGTAAAACGAATGCTTTAAACCTACATAAATTAATGACATATAAATTGTATCCATATTAATATTCTAAATAAATCATTATTAATTCTATTGCACTTATTTCAGAAAATGCTCTAAATGCTTAGTTTGTTATTTCAAAAATTGCATCTCAGATTCCATTCGTTTCTCTTCCAACTCTCGAATCTCCTTAAAACTTCTCTATATAGCATCGAGTTCATTCTCCAATAGGATTTTCTAATTTTCCAAATAAATCTTCTTCTTGTCATAGTCTGCTATTTTGGAATCCTACTCACTCTTGCCAATTTCCGATTCTGCTGCCTTCCTATTGCCAAACACAACTGATCCAGCATAGAGTGTTTGGTATGCTGCAAAAGTTAACTTCAAATTATCATACACTCTCATCAAGAGGAGTCCTCTCTCTGGACAATTGATAGCACTCTGTCTAATGATCTCCTCAAATAATTAACTATGTAGATCCTCTCTCACTGGACATATGCCACTCTTACTATAATATTTGCGATTAAATTCTACCGAGCCTATCTCTCGATCAATCTCTAATCTAATTCTGCTTCCAATTGATTCAATTCATCTCTCTTGACATCATTGACACTGACCACCTATTTGAAGAAGTGTCCTTCATGTTCAAATCGTCTGGGAGGGAAGAACTTATTCAAAATTTCATCAATGGACCACTTTTGATCCAAAGGTTACAGTTATTATTTTTTTTTTTAATTCAACACTTGTTCCTGCATTTCAAGTTGCATCTCATCTTCATTTATTTCAATTGGCTCCTCGTATCTCACCAAGGTTGGCATGTATTTGGGGTATTTTTTTAGGGTCTCTTCTATTTATGACATATTGATTATTATTAAATTTATATAACAGAGATGTGTGCATACATATATATTTAAAAAACATAACAAAAAAAAGTAATTATAATAGACAAAATCACAACAATCCCAACTCATTCAATATTTGACTCATTATTAGTATGATTTTGGATTATTCAGCATTATTCACACTTGAAATCAGGCAGACTAGGAATGCATAGTCATCATCGCTATAGATCCGGTTGGAAACGATCAAGTCAGTTATTTTATTCTTAAAAAGGGGATCTGCTAATTAGGGGATTCTTTTGGCAATGCTTTCCCAATCAATCTCTTGTTGTATTTCTTTCTTTTGTGGCCGTGGCTGCACTTATTAAATTGAAGTTGATTACTTATTGGACAAGTCTTATTGATAAGACTCTTATCCACTCTCCTGAAGAAGAGGGCTGGATTGAGAGTGGTCTTGTTCTTGTTGTTCATTTCTTGGATCCTCTTCTTACATTTTTCAAAATTCTTTTGATGTTCGGTATTGGTGGTTTGCACTTTTTTGAGGAAGTAGTTGTTTTTGAATTTCTCAACGGACGGTCGTTTTTATTGGATCTTTTGTACCTTGTCAAAGGTGTTAAGGACTTCCTTGTATTGATCCAGGAATTTGAAAACTGGAGAGGGAGTTCGACGGAGTAATTTGCTGCTTGAGTTGGTTTGGGAGAGAGTGCTCTTGGCAGTCTCAACATGATGCAGATGCTGGAGCATCTATTGCAATATAATTCGCCGACCTCCTAGATTGCGTTAATCTGGAGAGAACACCTTGCTCATTAACGATTTTTATTAATTAACAAGATGATTATAATTATGCCAGCCTATAAAAGCAACTTGGAAGTGCAGATCAAGCAGGATCAGAAACAGGGGATGGGTCTGATTGATCATGAGCAGACTGACACGTTCCCAGTGTGGAAATTTAAAGGAGGTTCAACCACGATATATGAAGAGAGTAATAATGAAATGCATTTTGCAGATCAAGTCTACACCGAGAGTGCTGAGATGTTGCCCAACAAGAATCAGCTCCTTAAAGTGAGCAAGTCAAGTAAAATTGATCCATTTATCAACATTAATAGAAAATCATTATGAAATCCTGTTGTCCGTAATGCAGCCACCCTTCATGGTCGTCAAGGACATAAAATCATCCAATGGGTCTGAATATCCTCTCGTAGTTAATTCCGTCATTCGCTTGGGAAGAGTGTACTAATTATACACTATTAATTTAAAGTGAGTACAAGGTCATCGAGGAACGCAACAAGCACATGCAGACTTTTCAAGCACCCTGCTCCCTCAAAGTATGCTATTAGACAATCAAATTTTAGTATTCCTTCCTCAGTGACTCCAATGTGACATATCAATGTAAGTTTTGTTTCATGGAAGGAAGGCAGAGCAAGGATCAACTCTTTCTTACGAATATCTGTCGTTGTGCTGGCAATGGCTAGGCTGTTCATTTGGACTGTTTACGTTACTGGGTAGATTCCAATATCACCAAGGAAGAAACTCAATTCGGCTTGACTCTCAAATGGTTACTAATTTCTTCATATTAGGAACAAGCAACATGAGTGTTCCATCTGCAAAGAAAGTCTCCCAATTCGAGTTCAGTATGAAGATGAATACTTCGATCTCTTTACACTCGACAGACCTGATCTACAGTACATCCTAGTAGAAGTATACTCCCCCTCTATCATTAGAACATCAATAAAGAGAAGAACTTAATGCAATGAAATCTATTTAATCCACAGTCTTCTGAGTGACAATATCAAAATTGTAATTCATATCCCCCATATTTAAAGGGAAGAGGATTCCAATGCGATATCAAAGCCTAAGACATCACTGTCTCTAGACACCATGCCACCATCAAATTGACTGATGGCAACTTCATGATCTAGGACAACAAAAGCAAATTTGGAACTCTAGTATCCATTGACAAAAAAGTTTCGATTGATTGCGCAGCTTGCAGTTTGTAAATTGGCAAACTACTAATCAATTTTATCTAGTCCGATTATATTTAAAAAGGTCTTGTTTAATTTTTAATGTAGGTGCCCCATCAACTTAACACAAACTTACTTAACTACCTTAAATAAATAAATAATTAGATGAAGATGAACCACAAATGGATGATGATTCTTTTCAATTAGAAAATAAATGAAAGTGACTTTTATATTATTCTAATTATATTTTATCTTTCCCTTTTGTTATATAAATATATATATAATTTTAGTGCAAAAGGCTAGCATTTTCAATAGGAATTTCAGGCTGCTCTTTAATGAAAACAAGTACTAAAATCTGACAGGTAAATTGTGAATGCATGATTGTAGCCCAAAAGGGTCATACTCAAACTCATCTTGGATGGGTGTCTCCAGTAGATTACAGATTTGGAAGAACTATGTTTTATATCACTTGCGCCATTGGATTCTTTTGTGCCTACATGGACCCAGGAGTCTTACATGAAACAGTATGAATCACATTTAATTTTAGTTTGGCCATTTCAAATAACCACCCAGATATGTGTTGGTAAGTTTTACGAATTAATTACATAGGGATTTGGAAAAGGACTTGAAGGAGAAGAGAAGAAGTTGAATGAATAGATCTTGGACAGACATCATGCAGAAGAATAATTAGAGCATTTCAAACACAACATCACTCAATACGATGGCAAATGATTTAATACAAAAATATAAAAACATACAGGGAATAAATATATATAATTTACAAATATCGGATAACAAAAAAATCACTCACTGTTCCAAGAGTTACTACAATACTTCTCGAATAGGCTTCGATCTCTTCCTGGCTGTCTTCACAAGTGTAATAGCGTCTTCCAGAGAATAATTTAAATCCAATACTAAATAGAGTATGACTGTTTAAATGCTCCTCTGAATGCCATCAGTACAATGAACATAGACGCACTTACCTTCCTCAATCAGTTTCTTCAAGATCTAATAAGCCTGCATTCCCTTCTACAGGAAGGATCGCTTATTGCAATCTCGGATAGGAAAATGCGAATACGTTATCTGATATGATTGACAAGATTCTCTGATTTGATCAAAGTAACCCTCTTGTAAATCCTTGTTGATCAGATCCTCAGTCGTTTATAGATTAACTATGGCATCCACTCCCAATTTCTATAGAATGTGAATTTCACTAAAAACTAATTACGTTATATTTTACTTGCTATAGAGAAAGGAACCAACATAGAGGTTCTCCAATATTTGATTATAATTGAGACCAAAGTCTACGTCAGAGTCTGCGATTTCGATCACATTATTCAGAATGGGATGTTTGGTAAATACTCTGACTCCATTTCGTTCCCATTTTTGATCTTGTTGGTACTTAAATGCATATGAATTAATTGATTTGCTAGGGATTTCCAATTCCATCCTATACTCATATTCATTTTCCTCAGTAACTACTTGATCTAGTCTAATTTTGGATCTCCCCTTTTCTGAATATAAATTTACAAACATCTTTGAATCAACATAAGAGTTCACTTTGATTCTGATTTTGATGTGACTCCATGCATCTTCTACATCGTCTTTGGAATTCAAAACTCTATTTATTCCATCTTCCCATTCAACGATTTGTCGATTGTTTTATTTCACAATAACGTATCTGTAATTCATGGGTAAACAACAACACTCTACACGAGCTCTCCAAATATCTCCTGGATTCCATTCCATCTAAATTCCATTTTACACATTCCATTACACTAAATGACAATCACCAACAATCAAAATCACCTCCCCATAATTCACGTGTCTCTAAATGGAAATAGAGCTCATATTGTTTCAATATATTAATATATCAATTACTTTTATTAAATAAATCTAACCTAAATATCGTTTTCAAATATTTCATTAATTTCAAAAATAATAATAGCTCATAATTTTTATTACTCATTATTAATACACATCGTATTAGTTCATGAGAATTGCATAACACCAACTAATCTGACAATTATTAATAAATATAACTGTAATGAACTGAATTGAAGAAAGTAAATATATCGTCATTTTATTATCTTTATTGAGATAATAACTATTTTATTTTATTTAATGAGACATAAATCAAATGGACAAAAAATATTTATTGATGCATCAAACCTTTTGTTAGACGACGAAACTAGCTTTTCGTTTCGACCACGTTTTTCAAAGCACAAGAATTTCTATACAAAAAAACCACTCTTTGAATATCATTATGTGACTCCAACTCAGAAGCATGCAAAAGAAATTCTTGATAAAATATGCCACGTGAATAAAAAGGCTTTGATTACTGAGAGACCTGAATCCTCCTTTCAAAAAAGAAAAGAATTTTCAGTCGACCAATGTTTAACTACAAGGGGATCAATGCAAAGAAAATAGATCAGGATCAAATCAATAAACAGATCAAATATATAAAACAAATTATTAGATTAAGATTGGTTAGCATTCGTGTTAGATTGAAAATACTTAATTTCTCTTGAATAATAATTAATTTATGTGATGAATATTTTTAAGTTTCAATGTCTTACAATTTCTACGAGTAGCTAATTAATTTTATGAAATAGTAATATAATGAATAAGTGCTTTGAATGTCAAACTGATAATATTAAATCAAACATCTTCAAATTATTCTCCAGCTGCCATTCTCAATGCCAATTACTCCTTCAAAGTTCTTAATGATTTATTCAACAATCCAATGGTTTATGATACAACATCCCTGTCAGAATCCCTAAAAGTAAGCAAACATAATCATTACCTCTGTGATCTGGAATCCTAGTAATCCTAAGCCTCTTATTCACATATGGTGAATCGATCATTTCTAGATTATTGGAGCATTTCCAATCTCTGATTTACATTATCGAGAGTGGCTTGAGTCTACTCGATCACTTCATTCACTCTATACAGGTTTAATAAATAAGATACAATGCGAAATCAGTTATGGCTGATGCCAAAGTGCTCTCAGTGGTATTGATTGAAATGACAAGCAAGTTTCTAGGTCTTCTCGTAAGCTTGAATTCTTTTTTCCTCTGAGAACTTCTCAAGATCCATTGAATCATGAACTTGTTCTAATAATTAATCGATAAGCAAAATGACATTGTCAACTTGTGCTGAATCTTGCAATTGATTAACTCTTGAAGTTATGGTGGCCAAAGCTTTGAACATTTTACCCCAAGAGGTTCTATAGGTGAATTTACCTATTAAATGGTTGATAATAATGAGTACTTGCTCTTTTGATGGACGCTCCGAAATGCTTTTACAGTAATTCAATTCCATTGCTATTCAATTAAATAAAGGAGTTGTCATGTGACTGTAGATTCTCTGAAAACAATGTTCTAGCCTACATCAAGATGGCAATAACATCTTCGTGTTCGTGAATTTTATGTTGATGTTCATCATTTTCTTCTTCTCTCTATTGATCTAATTCATTCAACTCTCCGCTGAATTCTTTAAGTTCTCCTTGCTTTTGAGATATTAATTTCTATAAGATTTCTCTCTTTGGATAGAGTTCACCTTCCAATCTTGCTTCCAATTTGATACGTTCATTGTCACTCACTTTGATATTTTGATCTAAATTTTAGAGATCCTATATGAAATGTTTAGAGACAATACCACGCTGCAGGAGTCTTAATAGTCTTTGTGTGAAACATCCTCTTCCTTTTAATCTTGATAGTATCTATCCTCAATTTATTGTAAAGTTCCCATTAATCTTTCAATCGGTTCTTAGGTTTACAATTACAAGTAAATTGTATCAAGAAGAGTGTGACCAAATCTGTTTTGATCAAGTTATTCAATTTGTTGTTTCATATCCACATCTTCCAATGCTTAGTTTATCATTAGAAGTAGTGACAATATTACAAATTTGTTCACGTTTTTCATAAAAATTAAATATAATTAATTCTATAATTCATTTATTTTGTTGAGGTTCTGCCATTACTGAAATCTCGCCATCATTGCATCCACATATAAAGAACTTCTTATCCTTTGAGCACGTAATAGACAACACAGGGGATTTGGCTGATATTTGAAATCTTTTCAATTATTGCAAATAAGGCAAAGACCTTCTTACCAATTCACCATTCTCAGTGCCGTATACCTATATCAATATAAATGTATTACCATGATGTCTTAGAAGAGATTATTCCTCATTATTTGACAATCAATCAAGGATGAACTCTGTTCTGGTTGAACTTCCAATAAGAATCCATTTATAGAATAACAATAAATCTGGTGATCATATGCTGAGTAGAAAACTATACAAAACAATGGTCTATTGCTCATGACAATCGAGTTGATTGGATTCTTATTAGGATGTACGAATGATCTCATCAATTGCCCATTGTATAAATTATATAGATAAATGTAACCACCTGTGCATCCAGTAGCAAATAGTTTCATACTTGTAGATACATAAATGCAATTGATCTAATTAATGAATACTTAATTACTTGATTCTAGTGATCAAAATACATACATTTGGCATGTAATTTATAAATATCCTTCTGTTTATCAACATTCCATAAAATGACATGTCCACTCTTATCCCCAGAAATGATCATAGATTCTTTTTTATCAGAAGCTAATGTTGTGATTGTGGCTGTGTGTAATTGATAGATATCAATGATTTGGTTGTTATCACCTATGATAATCAATTTACCTAGATGGTATCCTCCGCAAATAAATAGTTTGCCCTGATTGAATACCAACATGGGATAAGAAGACAATTGAGCAGATACATCCCAGATATTGAAAAGTTCAGTCTGAGGTTTTTCAAAGTTGAATTGTTTTTCCCTTTCTAATCCACATTGGAAGGGTGGTTAATTGGCTTGAACATCAGTTTGACTTGTCCATTTAAGATAATCAATTTTACCTTCCTTTCTTATACATATCAATCTCAGATCTGAAATCCATTTGATCTTGACAATTGCTCTATTGCTTGCTTATTACAAATCAATAATAGGTTTCATAGTATTCGGCACCTTCTTTTTATTTTATGGTCTATAAACCTTCAACTCTTGTGAATTCGAAACAAATTGATGTTCATTATTGATCTATCTGCCAATATGAGGTTTCAAGAATAATTATAATGGAGTAATTCCAAAATTCACTACTTAGGCTTCAATGCTAAGTCTATTTTCTTCCATCATTTACAATGTAAGTTATTGATCATATGTCACATAAAAGTAAATATTTAAATTCTTCTCTGCTTCTTTGCCTCTCTACTTGAATCCGAATATCAAATCTATCCATTCTGGTAGATTTCTCTATATCTCTTCACTTTCCAAGGCATTCCTTTGACCTGCCACAAATCTCCAAGGATTATTATGAGACCATTTAGGCAATTATACATTGTTAACCATGATTCCACTCTAAGTTTTACCAAATTACAGATTCTACAAATTAATGAACATCTCAGGCAAACAAAACATTTCTGGAATCAACTCTCTTACATCTGCAATGTCCTCTGTTGCACAACGAAAACTCTCCACAAAAGAATAAAAGAGGCGATCAGGAATATCAAACTTATTTCCTTAGATCTCCTTTGCTATTGTTGTGAATGGTTCCAATCTTATAAGGAATTAAGAAGTAATGGCCAGTGATGAATAATGAGATCCATAATGAAAAGCTGGGATCTCCCCACCTTACTCTGACTATTCAAATCTCTCTATATAACTTTTGATTCTTGAATTGTTTCCCAATGCACCCATGGTCTTTTGCATTGCTCTGAATTACCCCTCTGGATATATCTTAACACTTGGTTCCTAGACTACCTATTAGTTCCTTTGGCTCACAAATAACCCACGGAAATACAGGATATTGAGTGAAATCATTATAGCTTCTCGATGCCAAATTATTCAACAACAACAAGTACTTGAAATTACCCATTTATTATCTTATGGTTATGATGATATGCATACTTATTCCATTTCTACAAGTACCCCTACTTCTCCAATAACTTCACTGGATCCGTGGTCTTACTCTGATTGAGATATGGTGCCAAATGACTTTTGCGATGCTTCAGTAATTTAGAAGATATCTCATCCAGATCGTTTTAATCGCAAATGTTGATGAATAATGATTTCCTATTAGATGATATCAAACATAAATTACCCATCAATGAAGAATATCTCCAAAGCAGTCCTCCTCTGTAAGTATTTCTTCTTTATCACCAAAACCAAATTATAAATTGGATACTTTTTAAGTAATCTCTAATCATCCTTCAATTCAAAAACTCCTAAAGCTGCATGTGATCCTTCACTCTTCAAATGTTCATATTACAATAAAATGTGAGTATTCGTTAAACTCATCAATGCATAATAAATATAGAGTCCATTTATGACTATCACCTTCTTTCCTCTAAATGTATTCTCTCCAAAAGATTTGATATTCTCTACAGCCTAAACCTTTTGGTTTGCTATAGTTTTTACTGCATTCCGTATATTATTACCAAATGCCTTGCCCATATTCAATAATTGAGTTGCAGCCTAAACAGCTTGAGAATTGGTAGATTGTCTCTATCCATAAAGCTATTCAAATTTATCCATCTCATGGCCCAAAAGGAGAGGAGCTGTTTATGGAGTCTAATATACTGGTTTGTTTCGTAACACTTCTGGTATTATTGGGATACTCTTGATATAAGGTCTAGCAAATGATTTAGTGAGCATTTTTGAAATTTTGATTTTAAAGTACTTACTTTACACAAATTGTTCCTATGTTATGTCTTAGATCAAATCGTTTCTTTAGATGCACCCCTAACATTAAGAGAGCCAGCCATCATTCAAGAACAAAGAATTTAATGATTTGTGATATTTGTTTCTACCAATTCTCTCTCTCTCACTTTCTCTATAAACCCATTAAACTTTCCTCTCTTCAATTTCTATATACTTATTCTCCCCTATCTATTGGACATCTCTTGAAACCTTCTGAGGTGAAACAATTGATTCAATTGACCATTATTAAGGTATGTTGGCTTTAATTTAGGTTTCCTACTTCAAAGCATTGCAGTGAATTAGGAAAGAGATCAATTAATCCAATATGGAATCATCTAGAAATGAATTAGCCGAAAAATTTTCAAATAGAATTTCAAAATCTGAATATAACTCCGTCAAGTACTTCCTCAATTGAGATGGTTGATTCTTTTCCTTTGAGACAAACATTATGAAACACAAAAATTTAATACTGTCTTTGAAGTGCTCGTGATTCCTTAATTTGGATAAAATATGTGTCAATCCATAAGTCATTTCAAACTAACATATCTCAAAAGTTATTGCATAAGTTATTAGTAATTAATAAAAGTTAGTTTAATTACTACTTTCCAATATGATTTCATATACTTGATGGCTATGTATTTTGGAATTGAAGAAAGATAAAACTTTTTAAGCAGACTCAGGATGGTTGAAACACTTAGAAATTGAAGCAATTTATTCTATTATTGTTTATTAAATTAATAGTACCTTCTGTATTGCCATTAACTAAGTAATCCTTATGAATTAAATCATAAAAATTATTAACCTTTGTTATCAATTATGGGTAATGTTGCTTAAGTTCAATTACATACAATGATATCTGAATTATGTTCTTCCATAATTGAGAATCTGTCTAAAAGGTCTTGCATTACTCACTATTATTAAAATACAATATACTGAAGTAAATCAATGATGACATTCATCTGCATTTCAACTAATTTCTGATTGTGATCAATTCCCCATTTTAGTAATTCATAAATGTAGTTAGCACCAATAAATTCTGATTTCAAGACTTAAACCATAAGCGTAGAATGCAGTCGACTGCCAATTTCATAGATCTAAATAATAATAATAATATTGTACCAGAGTATTATCCTCTTGTGCTGATAGTACTCTAAGAAGTTCGCCTTGAAATGTTGCCTATCCTAAGATAAGTATGGAATTTCCTTGATGTGATTTACAAAGACAAAGCAAATCTTACAAAATTTAAGCTGTTAAATTATCATCGATAGAAAAAGCAACAATTTTCATTATTGCATTGATGATGCCTTCATTCTTTATTTAGTCTCTCTCCTCTATCATAAAGGTTTCATTAGCTCCAACTTTTATTTTATCAATCATCCAACCCATGAGCTAGTTATAAATGGAGGCAAACGATTCAATCCTTTTTTTTTAAACTTATTCAATCTACTAAATGGACATAGAAGATGAAGAAACTTCCTTAATTTGGGTTACTACATAGTAATATAGGAATACATTCTTATTAAAATTGTTGTTTAGGTGCTTAACTATTTTTTGTAGACATAGGAGGTTGTCTAACAACAGTCTATTATTATTTAGGTGATTCTGCATTCTAATTTAATAAAGGAGATTCTTATTGTTTTGGAGATTCTACATATGGTTCTTCAGGTTCTCGATGTCCTTACATATACATATGGCATGCCTTAGCCAATCTGTTTATTTCTGCCAATTCCTTATTAAAAGCTTCGTGATCACTAATTTACATATTTGAATCAATACAATCCATTTTTTTTCCCTTATTCTCCTCCAAAATTATAGAGAGAATTTATAGCATCAGTGTCAATTTTTATGTGGAATTTCTTTTTCCCTTTCTAATCGACAGAGAAGGAAGGAGGGTTTGATTTGTCGGTTTCTGGAGCAGGTATAGATTGAGCATTTGGAGGAGGTCTTTAGTTATTATCAAAGAATCCTTAGGGTGGTTTACGACGATTAGTCATAGAGGGTGCTTAGGGAACACTTTCATAATCATTGTTCAGGAATTGAGTGCCTAGATTTTTGAGTTCATCAAAATCACCTTACTATTATTATTATTATGGCTATTCCTTTTTGATAGGCTAGACTTAGGAACTTCGATTTAACTCCATGAGGGGTTCGATAGCATTTGTGATGTATTCAATAGCTAAATGTGTTTAGAGTTTGTGATTTGGAAATTGCTATTGGAAGATGAGATGTAGGAAATAGACGATCATTGCTCTGATGTCATAGTGTGGAGTAGATTTGAATATGAAAAGTAATGAATCTACGATGTTATTCTAATCCCATGATTAAAGTATGAAATTGGTTTTGATTCCCTGGTCTTCCTTGTCAACTAATAAACTCTTGAAATGAGATATAAATAGTACTTTTAGAATGGTCAGAATTTGCAATAGGAGACATGGGGATATCTTGGACATTAGATATTAGTCAAAAAGAACTAGATGTTCAGATGTATCCGGTTATTGATTGAACAAATAAAAGATCTTATCTAAGCGAATTACATCTGAAAGGACTCTTCAAATTCATTAAAATGTTAATCGCAACATTGATTTTCCGTATATGCAAATATTAACATATCTAAAATATCTTTAGATGATATAAAATGTTGGTAATGTTATGGATTTTATAAATAAACTTAGCATGCTAATTATAAGTATTTTTAATAAACTTGTTCACTAATACATTTTTAATGCAACTTCGGATTCCATAAGATATGAATAACATAATGATCCAATAATCTATTGTCTCCAATAACGGTTTTGATCTCACTCAATAATTCAACACATTTCATATTAATCAAAGGTTTTTCAAAACTCATAATGATTGAAGCAATAGTCAAGAAGAATTGACTATTGAATGCCTCTGCTTGTAATTAGTTATTATGTTTAAGAATATGGGTAATGACTTCAAACATAGTAGACAGATTAAGTTATGCAGAGTTGATTTGTTTGTAAAGCGTTCCACTTAAATGTAACATAACATAAAACAATCTGAAACCTCCAGAAAAGTGAAACTTGTTCTTGTCTGCTATAACAGCTCCAGACTTAGTTAATAACATAGCATTGCAATTTCCCATTACATCAATCACATGATTTCCATCTGTAAATTCAGGAATATAAATAGACATGATTCTCTCAAAGTACTTATCCAAACAAGCTGGCAATGTTTTCAATTATTTAAAATCCATAGGTAATTGTCCATACACTTATTGGATGGTCTTGATTCTAAGTAGGGAATATGTATAACATAAGTACTTTGTGGATGATTGATTCATTATGATAACACATTAGGCTGTACCTAAGAGATTCTCACAGATAGTAAATCGTGTCAAGGCTATGGTTTGGTTCAAACGAGGGAAATCTAATGTCATGGTCTTGGATTGTTCATTGTTGAAGTACATCTGAAATTCAAAACAATGATTACTGTTAAATGAGAAGAAGTGAATTTCTTTTGGCATTCATGTGATATCCCTATGAAATTCATCCCATTCTTCAATTGGCCTATCAAAATAGCCCCATTATCTGGTTCCTAATATATTGCAGGTATTATCCTATAATAGACACTGCCTCTCAAAATGAAGCATTCTAATCCACCCCCACCTTATTATCCTTGCCCATGAACGCTTATGATTTTCTGCACACCCATATTCTACTCATTAAACAATTCATAATTTATATTCTCCACTTGAATCCAAATGCAAAACCCGAAACCCTCAACGAATGGCCAAGTAACCTTCTCCACTTTCATCCCACTGCCCATACCAGAAAAATAGAACAGATTCTGTTATTGCTGTCGAAGCGATTCCTATATTTTCGGATTTCAACTACTTTATACAATGTTAACAATGAGCCATAGTATTCTGCTCTTAATTATTATGGCAACTCCTTGAAGTAATGTTTCAACACTTTCCTTGACAAGTAACCTCTCTATGCTGTCACTATTGCTCCTCGAATCTATATGTATATAAAAATGTAATTACATCCTACAAAAGGGAATCTTGAAATTATCCCAAAAGTGAGTTGTACTTGTAATTTAGCAATCCTTCCTCAAATCTCAATTGAGAAGGATTCGTTACAATATTGTACTTCTGATTGAACTCACTCACAGTTTTTCCATATTTATCTTAAAACATGATAATATATTTATCATAATCAATAATCTTTTTATATTCATTCAATCACCAAACCAATGTACAATTCAAATCTCATGTTTTTGATATCTTCTTGTCCTTCTCTATAGACTTCGAACTCCGTCTTATAGGTTCTCTTTCCCCCCCATTCTTCTGGCTTTATCTTATACAAAGCACACCAAGCTTATTTGACAATCTCAGGTATGGGTCCAGGTCCTCCTTCAAATTTGGCATAATTGGAGTCTTCCACTTCATAGACTTCCATGCCATCAGGAACAACTCCAACTTCTGTCACCACTTCACCTACTAGTATATAAAAGTTAAATTGGGATCTATCCTAAAAATCTTTGAAATCATAGTAGAGACTATAGATTCTTCCTGGATATGCTCTATTTTGGATCTTTTCATTCAGTTTGTTTGAAAAAAACTCCTTAAAAGTTAGGCTAAAAGTGTTGTTCTCTTGATCAGTCTCTTTTGCCAAGTACATTCTCCTTCTTAGACCAACCACTGTGAATTTGGGTATGTTTACGATCTCTTTTTGAGGGATAGGGTTCATTGTTAAATTTAATTGTGTTGTTTAATGAATATTATTAAGATTATAAACTTAATTCGAATGCGTAAATAGATCGAATTCTGACATAAAAATGACTCAATTTATAATAATAATATATTAATAATAATTAATTCTCATTTTTATAAGATTTTTCGATGAGAATTGAATTGTTCTCTATCCTAGACTTGACTGTGTCTTTCAGTAAAGAAATTGTTTCGTTTGCTAGCTTAATGGATTATATGATAAATATATTACAAATTTCTTCCTCTTGAGGTTCCTCATTCAATCCTTAGAGATTCAACTTAAAATCAAATTTCTTCTTCATTGTTTATTAAGCAAATTAGATGTATTTCTTAACGATTTCATCAGCTTTCTATGTGGTTTATTTATTGATGTGTTATGATTTAGTGCCCAACTCACTGATTATTTTTTTGGAATTGGATGATTTAGCTTTGGTACTCACTAATTTTTGATTTTATTATGAATTATACTATGATGGAATCATATATTTAAATTCAACTTTCTATTTACTTTCCACAGTGTTCAACCCCTTGATTTAATCATGAATCTTCAGCATCAGATCCTCTGAAATCGGAGGAGGTCGTTTGTAAGTCCTATCGGTCAAGCAACCACCCTTGGCAATTTTATCAATTTAATTAGTTGTAATTTTCTTGGGCAAAGGTTAATATACTTTTTTGAGTGCTTCTTGTTTAGTTGAGGTACTACTATGCATACTCCCATTATTATTATTATGATCTTATCTTAAACTTTTTTATTAACCTTAAAATCCTTGGACCGAAGTACTCATCGGTAACTAATCGGAAGAGACTGCACTTCTCAATTGCTTCATCTTCTGATATTCCTTCAACATTCTCTAGATGGTTTATGAATCACTCTGCATTCTAGTGAGTTTTGGCTTAGCATCAAAATCATTAAATTAATCGATTCCCTTGCCCAATTCCAATGGTTCCTCGTTATTCTGCTTGATATTCGATGAAATCTTCGATTCGCTTTTCGAATTCGTCCCTATAATCGACTTAGTTATACCTTTCTTACAACTTTCTGCTTGCTTGCGCTGTTTGATGCTCTTAGAATAAGTGGATTGTTTCTTGCGTTTCCCATACATCTGATTCACTTGCACAATGCAATCCTTCAAAGTAATGTCAGATTGTTCTGATTGATTTAATTGTTAGAGATTTCTGATGATCTGCAATCCCCTTAAATCGAAACCTTACTTGCTGATTTCTTAAGTGGCTTCCTCGTAGATGTCATGTTCCTGAGTTTCGAAACTGATGTTGTCCGTCGATTTCGAATTCAATACTTGTCTACTCATCCCTTGTTAATGACTCTATTCGCGATCCTTCTGATAAAACAATTTATCATATCTATTGTTGCGCTTATTCATGATCTTATGAGCATCAGTCACACACAAGTTCGGATGCATATGCTTGTAATTCTGAGTGTAGAAGTCTATAAGAATGTCCATACGTGGCCCAACCTCTTCATTGCTGTAGAATCTTGTAATATAACATTACCAACACCACATACCTTTTCAAATATTCCATCCGCTCATCTAAGATTACATAATCCTTAAAATATATTACATGCGAGGCGTGAGGAATCTAAGCTATGATTTCGTTGATAGGCTTTGCAAAGTAGAAATTAAAAGCTTCAAAGTACTTCTCCTCCAAGTAGTCTCTCATCTTTCTACGTGCTCCAATTTTGCATAAATCACAACTCTTCATTTTATTAAATAATTCATATAAAATCAAGAGTCTCTGAATTAATTTTTGAAATAAGCCAATTCAATATATATATCACTTCTACAACAATTACATTTCTAGCTTTTTATTATCTTGGGCTATCACTCGAATCTAACACCATTTAATAATAATGACATACCCTATCTTCCAGATCCTTGATCTCCTCCTCATAATCCTCATCCTTTAATAGCCCTCTCAACTTAGAGTTCTCCTCTTCCAAGAGTTTAATCTATTAATTAATACTGATTCTCATACATTTTCGAATACTTTATCTCTACTACTATCATTTTGCTGCTGATGTCTCTTGCTCACTTTCTCATCATAATTTGCTGTATCGTATTTATATCTATATTAGACTTCTTCATGTTTCAATTTTTAATATGCGATCTAATGTGATTGCACTTCTAACTAGAGTTATTCAATATTTTAATCAATTTTCATCCCTTCTTAAATCTATTAATTCAATTTCTCATTCTCAATTATCAATCCAGTGATTTTATCTTCCAGATCCATAACCAATTGCTCTATCTTATTTTCTTGATTCATTTACTCCATTTCATTCAATTTCTAACAATCGAATTACTCAAACTATTTTAACAAGTTTTCATATTGACTCTCCAATTCCTCTAATTGTTTGGATTGGAGATCCTTTTCTTTTCTGAGTTATTCTACATTACTAATTTTTATTAGTTGTTAATTATCTTAATTTAATTTTTCGTTTAATTTTGAAAGCATTAAAATTTTGTTTTCTAATTCTTTAATGAATTGAGTGCTGTTTCCTCTCTAAATATTAGACTCTAATTAAAATATTTATTATTAAAGTGCATGATTCTGATTCTTGAGAATTTGAACATCTGACTCTAATTTTTGGGTTGTTGTATGAGAGACATTTTAATTAAAGGGTTATTGAGATACTCCTCTAAATTGCATGCTGGGTTTAGTAATTGGAGAATTGGGTTAAAAATGCTTCTAACTATAGTTCTTCTATAAAGGTGAAGTAATCTATTGCTATTATTATTATTATATTTGAAATTGAGTATTTCTGCGAAGTGGAGCAGGACTCATGAAAATTGTATTATTTTCATTAAGTCTGCTTGCATTGTTAATGCTAGGTTAATCTATTGCTTGATTCTACTATTTGACCTTGAATTGGACATTATAATTTTGATTATTCTTATAATCACTATTTAGTGTAATAGCAGTTTTGAATTATTTATGTTTAGGTGTTGTGCCACAATTATCTAGATCTTAATTAAAATCAATTTGAGATAATGGTTATCTGGTTGCTTTAATTTGTGTATTCATAACTGTTAAATTATATATTTATATAAACAAAATTGTTAGTAGCATATCAACCAAATGATTGATCTAGAGCTTCTTTTTTTTTGGTCAATTCTTGAACCTACAATTCCAACTGTTGTATTCTTGAGATTAATTGTTTTTTCTCTTCCAAAAAGAGTTTCTTATCTTCATGAAATTACCTCTTCTCCTCCTCATATCGCTTAAAGCGTTCATGCACTTTTTGCTGTATTTATTACAACTACACTTTAAATTGATTTTAAGGACCGAAATCAGAAGCTTGACTTGAGATGGATTAGCAGAGTAAGAATTCCTTATGCTCAGTATTTTATTTGCGTGTTATTGATATCTCACTTTTCTGTGGAGTCACTGAGTTTCTGGCTATGTTGTTTATGCTGGGTTCATTCAGACTTTTCCGACTTTATATAGTTTTAGTGATAGAGGGCGATTTACTCTGCATGTATGAATTTAGAAGAGTTTGGAATTATTTGAGTCGATTGTCCTAGTTATTCAATCTCACACAAGGATTGCTTTATTGCTCTCGACATTGAATCTTATTTACCGCTCGTTTAATATTCTAAGGGGATAAACAATGATAAATAGATCCTGACTTAGGTTACGATTACATTATAAAATATTAATTGTCATATTGATAATTCCTGCTCTCGATTCAACATTTAATATATAATTTCTACAATACAATTAATCAACCATAGAATTCCATCATCTTCAATGATACTATAGCAGTTTCCCTCACTATCTGATCAGGACTCTTAGCATATGCATTCAAAATCTCCAGTGTAATTTCTTTATTCGAACTCACAGTTTAGAAAGCAGCAATAGCCTCATGACGAGCAATCGCTGGCTAATTCTCATCCTTGATCATATTAATCAAAGCCTCATGTATTTATTTTGGTGCTTCTCCTACTTGACCAATCACAAAGCAAATCTATATTATTATTCAATTCTATATCTACCTCATGTTTAAACAATGCTCCAAGTTTGTTGCTAGTTAACAATTGATCAATTTTATCAAAATAAGTTTCAGCATTATTTCTCAAATAATAAAGTGCTCTATATTTATTAAACAAAGTTGTCTAATCATCCAAAATGTATTCCACTGGATTCTTATCCAAATGCTCAAATGGAGCAGCAGGTTCTCTTGTTCCAAGATACCTTTTTCCATATAAATGCCCTAACTCATTAATTGACTTGGCTTTCTCCAAACCTATTGTACAAGTATCTTGTAAAATGTTGAGATCATCATTAACATTCTTCTTTGAATATTTCTCAAATATCTCCAAAGCCTCCTTTTAATTTATGTTTGCCAAAGCCTCAGCACCCTCATGTCTTACTACATCGAATTGTTGATCATCGCTAATTATTTAAATGAGAAATTAAGTGATTAATGGTTCCAAACCTAAGTCTGCTTACCCTAATGCATAGGCTATCTCATGTAATAGTAAGCAAGACTTATTCTCTACTTTGTTCAGATGATGGAAACCCTATTTCAAGAGTTCCACAGCTTCCTAATTGTTAATGGTTCTCAATTCAAAAATTGCTGTGTATATCTAATCAACTGTGGAATTAGCATTGATAATGATTTCATAAAATTTTTGTGGTGATTTTTCCATTGTTATTAATAAAAATTATTATCAATAATTATATCTTCTCAAATTCAACAAACTTCTTGATTTCGTATCCTATAGTTCATCTTTCAGAGATCTCAACAACATTATTCGTTATGAAAATTGCTACTCCTCAATTCTAATCACTCTTTCCAACTCCTAAGAAATCTATATTCATATAATTCAATTCCTTACATCTTCTTTCTGATTTTTACTCTATTCACTCGATAATTATGATTATTCTAAATTTCTACTCAACATATCAGCCTCAATCAAAACCTCTTGATGAGCCTTCTTAACATGGTCTAAATCTTATTTCAACTTTGATATCGTTCTATTTAGTTATTGATTTTGAGTCTGCAGTTATTGATTAGCCTATGATAATTCATTCACTGCTGAATTATTTTGGAATGAAGCATTTGAATTTGGTTGCTATTGGCTAATGTAATTCAAAGCCTCTTGATATTGTCTTCTTGTGTGTCTCAATTCTTGAGTTTTCTAAACCAATTCCTCCTTAATCTTATTTATTTCAAAAAATCATTACTTAAGCAAATTAGCTTTTGGTTACATCCGTTTGCTTACTTAAGGACAAGAAGTCTTTGGATATACTATCATACTCCTGTTTTATTCTAAACTTATACAAATGTGATACTATTTGATTTTCTCTTTTAATCCCTTCACTTCTTCATCTAATTATGTTTTCTCACTATTTAATTTTTGAATCGCAATGTTTTCATCTGCGATTATTTTGTTTGGCTACTTCTATTATTCCTCATTCTCTACAAGTTCATCCTCCAATTCTTAAACTTATTATTTCAAATTTTCTATCTCCTTCTGTTAGATCTTCACCATTTTCTGATATTACTCAATCTATGTTTTCAACTATTACTCACTTATTTATTTTTAATCCTTCAAATTATTATATCTTTCATCATATAAATACAATTACCTTGTCTCTAATTGAGTCAGATGTTGAGAGATATCTTTAAATCGCTTTTCCCTTTCTCTGCATTCCTATAGCTCCAATTTTAGTTGCTTGATCTCTTCATCCTTATCCACAACTTATTGATCTTAACCTTAATCCATTAAATATATTATTATTAGTTTTTAAAATTTACACAATTATTTAATTTACATTAATTTAGTTATCTAAACTAGTTTGGAGGGATAATTTGGATTTTATTCATTTGATTATTTTTTATAAGAGATTTCGAAAACCCAAGATACATTGACAATATATGATTTATTTAAGATTTTTATTTATGAGTTTAATTTATTTGCAAATGCAATATATGAATGATAAATCTATTTTAATTAACTAAAATTTCAAAAGCACATTAAGAAATTGTTTATCACAAACTTTAAAGAAAATGCTTTTAATGTTTCAATAAAAATGATGGACAAAAAATCAATCTTGTCAATCAATGAAATAAAGAGAGAAATTCTTATTAGAATTTGATTATTAAAATAATTTCAAAAGCTTATTTTCTAGATATGAACTCTTATTTTACAATCCATTTTAACGGTAAACAGTCGAATGATTAATATTATTTAAATTATTACAATACCCATTAATTTAGCAATAATTTATGACTCAATTTATTAACATTTTAGCAGGCTTTCATAAATGACCTAATTAACAATTAGTGCTATATGGTATTATTAAGTCTTAATTTGATAATAAATGAGCATAAATTGCAATAATCTTTGCTTGTTCTCTAAGTATTTTTACCACATCTCAAATATATATTAACACCATAACAATATATAATTTGAAATCTCAAATTAATTTATATTAAATATATAGGGATATAAAGATATTATATTCTATTTGAACAAACAAGATAATCTATTGTTTATTATAATTATGTAGATGAAAATTTTATCTTTTACGTTCATAATTTTCTTGGGGTTTACTTATTAAGTGAAATATGAGAATATATGCAGTGATTGCAGTTAGCTAAAATCACAAAGAGATTGCGAATAACAATAAAGTGTAAATGGAACTTGCGAGTGGATAATTACTTAGGGAAATACAGCAGCAAAATGCTAACTTGTAAATAAAGTGGTAATTTAAAAATACACACCATATTGTGAGCTTGTAGATAAGCCAGAAATAAACTGTGCTAAAACCTTAGGATGTGCTTATGTTGAATCAAAATGCACGCACTTTACAGGATGTCCAGCATATGTTAAAACTAAAACAACAGATTGCTAAGCTATATCCAATATTTGTGTTAGTGATGGAAATGCATGTATTGAAGCTAAGGAGTGTAAGGCTTACACATAATAATAATGTGAATCTATTCCAAGTATCTCAGGTAATTTGAAATGTAAATGGGATAGAACTGCTGGAAATTGCAGAGATTATACGTGTGCAGAAGCAAATGCTGTCTTTAATACAGATGAAAAATGTTCAAGCTGGTTGGCTGGTTGCGTGACAAATGGTTAAGGTTGCGTTAATGCTCCAAGACCTGCATGTTCTACTTACACAGGAAATGATACTGCTTGTTCATCATTGATTGGATCAGATGGATATTGTGAATTGGCAACCGGTACAACTAAATGCAAAGCTAAAGAATGTATAAATGCTCCCAAATCATTAACTACTGATAATGACTGTTAGATCTATTAAAAAGGATGTATCACAACAGGAAAGGGTTGTATTTTTGCAACAGCAAAACCATTATGTTCAACCTATTCTGGTGATAACACCACTTGTGTTGGATATATTGGATCAGATGGAGTTTGTGAAGGTGACACAGGAGGTACCAAATGCAGACTCAGAAAATGCGAAACTTGGGAATATAATACTGATGAACTTTGTAAATAAAACCAAAGTAATTGTATTACAAACGGAAAAACATGCGTTTCAGCATTATAAGCTTGTGATACATATAAAGGAACTGCTATCACTTGTGCAGTATATATTGGCACAGATGGATATTGTAAAGGAACAAGTGAAACTAATGAAGCATCATGCTAACCAAAGGTTTGTGACGAAGCTCCAGATACAACTACAACAGATGAAGATTGTGGCAAATAGTAAGTTGGATGTGTTACTACAGGAAAAGGTTGTGTTACAAAGGCTAATTTGAAATCTTGTACTGCATATGATGGAGATGCAACTAGTTGCTAATTTAGAGTAGGAACTGAAGGAAAATGTACATGGAAGAGTGGAACCACATGTGTCGCTAGAGATTGTGCTTCTGCAGCAAGTAATGTAAATACTAACCCACTTTGTGCTAATTATTTCACTAATTGTGTCACAACTGGATCTGGATGTGTTTCATAAACTACATGTGATTTAACTGTTAAATAATAAAGTTGTGAAGGTACAAATAATTGTTCATGGTAACCAATATGTACTAGTAATACATAATGCAGTGATTTTTAGAAAAAATCAATTTGTTTAGCAAATTCAGCTAGAATTAAAAAATTCGATAAAAATGATGAAAATGGAAATCCAACGTATATATATGTAGCAACAAAATGTGGTTGGTTGAATAATGCTTGCAAAGAATTGGCTTGTTCAGATTTAACCGGAGCTTTTTACAACACTGATGCAAATTGTGCAGCAGAACTATCAACATGTATTAGTAATAGAGTTGATGCTTGCATAACCAAATATGACTGTGCCAAACTTGTTGGAACATAATCTACATGTTTAAGTTATCCAGGATATTGTACCAATGAATCAACAGCTACAGATACAACTCCCTTGTGTGTCCAGAAAATGTACAGACAACACCGATGCAACAGATAATGCTACATGCGTTACTTTTTTACCCGGATGTATTATTAATGGAAAAGGTTGTGTTGATTACAATACTCCATGCACATCAATGCAAGGTACTTAGGACACTTGCAATAATCTATTTGCTTATAAAAGCGGATCTGCTGATAACTTTACAACAAATTAATGCTATAATGATGCAAGTGCAGCTGCTACTGATTATTGTTAAGTGAAGACTTGCAAATTGGCTGAAAACTAGACTGATGGTTCATGTGGATCATTTTTAGATGGGTGTGTCTATAATGGCAATGGAGGTTGTGTTGATCCATAAGCTGAAGATACAATATGTCAAAGTTACACAGGTGTTGATGCATTCTGTGAATCTGCAATTGTAAGAAATAAAAGTAAAAAATACTGTTTTGGAACATCTATATTAGGTACTTGCAAGACTAGGGAATGTACAGATAATACAACAGCCACAAAAGATGAGAATTGTGAGGCTTTTATGTCCGGATGTATAGTAAAATCTGAAGGAGGTTGTATTGCTAAATCTGCAAGATCTTGCTCTTAATAATAAGGAAATGTTGATACTTGTCCTAATTTGAGTGGTGGTTTATTAGTTTCTTCAGAATGGACAAAGGTTGGGTGCACATAATATGATATCTGCTAAGATAGATAATGTGCGGATATCCAAAATCCTGATTCAGATTTAATTTGCACAGATTATAAATCAACTTGTAGATTTTTAAAGGCTGGAGCTGCCTGCATTGATGCAAGTATTTGTAGTAATTACAATACCCCTGATACAGCCACAACTGATTAACAAAAGTTTGATTATTGTACAAGCATCAAAGATAATGCTGGGTTACTTTGTGGTTGGTCCTCAGGAACAAAGTGTGCATCTAGAACTTGTGACTAGTTCTTGAGCACATTTACTACTTCATTAACATGCGTTACTTATTTATAAAAGAATGTTTCTATTTCAACAGATGCAACATGTAAATTAGCAGGAACCATTTGTTATTTACCTGATAAGGCAAATTGCGATTACAGTTATGCTTCTACAGATACAACTGATGCACTTAAACTAACTTAATGCAAGAAATATGTAAATGATAAAGGCCTTACATGTACATTTAAAACAGGTGAAATTAAATGTAGTTTATAAGATACTTGCGAAAAATTAATCACATAAACAGATACAAGAACATGTAATGATCAATCTATATTCAATTCGGATGGAAAATGTTAAAAAGTTACAGATTCAACATGTTTAACTTTATCAACAGTCTGTACAGACTATAAACTTGATTTTACTTTGACTACTACAAAAAGATAAGAATTATGTTGGGGATTGAAGGCTATTGATGCTTTGAATAAAATAACTACAGGAACCGGAGTTTATACTAAATGTGTGTATAAGGCAGGTCTTGCATGTGATTCCATTGCAGCTTGTTCAGATATTTATTCAGCCACAAGTTAAGCAGATTGTGATGGTTATAAACCAGGATGTACTTATTTTAGCGGTAAATGCTATGCTAATGTTCCAGCTAATAGTTGTCCTATAATTTTCCCAAGTGGAGTTATAACAGATACCTAAAAGTCTCTTTTTTGTAGAAGTATCAAAGAATAAACTGTTTATTGTAGAATTAAATCTGATAAAAGCGGCTGCGAACTTGCAGATAATGGAAATTGCTCTGAGATAACAATTCCAACAACTGGAACTTGGGATACATAAAGTGATCCAACAACCGCTGCATTTAAGTCTGCATATTGTTTAGCCTAATCATTTAAGGATAGAGAAAAATTTTGCCATTATTTCCCTTCAAATATGACAACAGTCTGCAGTGATGCAACATGTCCATATATTCCATCACCAACTAGTTAAGGAGATTGTGATAATTACTTGTCTGGTTGTATTTACTTTAATTATAAATGTTATGATCCAGGAGTAGGAGTTACAGCCCCTGGTGATTGTGCTGATAATGCCAAAGTACCTATAGATAGCGCATTGACTTCAGCTTAAAAATTAGTATATTGCTAATCATTTTACAGATCTGATAAATCTATCTACTGCACATATGATCAATATAGTGCAACTCTACAAACTCAATGTGTACATGCAGAAGCATGTACTTTTTATACAACATTGCCAGCTCCTGATGCTCATAGGCCAACTTATTGTTTAAGCAAAGTTGATGGAAGAGGAAAAAGATGTGCATTCACAGCTGCTGATACTAGATGTCGAGACTTTGATTGCTAAGATATTACAGGTGCAACATCATAGGTAGATTGCGATTTAGGAGCACCAGGAAAAACATGTGTTTATCTTTTAGGAACATGCTATAATAAAACACCAGCCTGTACAGCAATCACAGCTTAAGTTGGAAATGAAAAGGTTTATTGTGATTAAGTGACTGCAGCAACATCATGTACTTACATTTCAGGAACAACATGTGCTGTTGAACAAGATTGTCACCTTTATAGTGTCTCAGCAAATTAAGCCACCATTTGTGCAAAATTAACTGATGCAAGTGGAGATGCTTGTACATATATTGGTGGAAACAATTGTGCTAAATTAGGTGCATGTGATACATATGATGGAACAACTACACCAGCAAAAGGACCTGAATCTGGTTCAGAAGAAACACAATGTAAAGGAGTTAAATCAATTACTAAATATCCATGCATAAAGGATACTGATAAAAAATGTAAGGCCTAGATATGCACTGATAATGATGCCAGTGCTACAGATTGTGCAAATAATGCATCAGGCTGTCTCTATTATTTAAATAAATGTATTTTTATAGGTGTTTGCGCAAGTTATATACCATAAGGTGCTGATGATGCAACTTAATAAACTTGGTGTGAAGGGGTTTTGAACTCCTCAGGAGATTTATGTGCTTGGCACTCTGAGAGTAAAAAGTGTAAAGACAGAATTTGCAGCGATAAGTCATTTTAGACCAACTTTGATTGTCGAAGTTACATCAAAACTTGCAAGACAAATGGTACTACCTGTGTTGACTCTTCAGCTAATTGCAATTTAAATAAAGGCTCTTCAGAATTTTGCAAATCTTTATTAGATTCAACAGGAAAAGATAGATGCAGAATATCAGCAGCTACTAGTTTATAATAAGCATGCATAAACAAAAATTGTTATGATAATGTTACAGCAACATCTGATTCTGAATGCGATTCTTATTTGAGTGGATGTGTTACACGTGGAACAGGATGTATTCCAAATTCAGAACCATGCACATCCTATAGAGGAACTAAATAGTTATGTGAATAATTCAAAAAGTACACTGGATTAGATGCTAATAAAAATCCAATTTATGAATATTGTTCTGGTGATGCTACTAATACAGCTACTTCAAAATGTAAAGTAAGAACTTGTGCTGATAACACTACAGCCACATCAGATACCGATTGTGCTGCTTATTTGAAAGGATGTATTACAAAGGGTACTGGATGTATTGATGCAACATCATCATGTAGTGGTTTTTAAGGAGATTAAGCCATTTGTGCTAAATTTTTAGGAAGTTCAGGAAAAGATTATTGCTGGAACGCTTCAACCGCATTAGCTACAGCTACTTGTGCAAAGAAGATATGCAGTGATATCGCTGGTAAAAATAATAAGGAATGTAGTGATGGTATGCCACCATTCAAGACTACAGATGACACCTTCTGTGTCTTTGATGGAACTGGTTGCATTGATTATGGAAAGAATTGCAGTACCTTCAATGGAACTGAAGAAACATGCCCAACATATTTGGCTAAAGATGGTCCATGCAAAGCTACTACAGTTGGAACAATCAAAGGAGCATGCGCTAAGAGAGTATGTACAGAAGCACCAAATACACTTGCAACAGATACTGATTGTTAGAAATACCATAAGGATTGTTATACAACTGGTTATGGATGTGCAACTAATAATTAATGTAGTAATATAATTAATAAGTATTAATGTTAAGTAAAACCTGAATGCTCATGGGTTAAATATTGCACTGCTTAAATAATAAAATGTGAGGCTTTGAATTCTACAAGTTACTCATAATGTGCTAATTCTAAAGTAAATGGTAAGTTCTGTCTTTGGAATGAACAAGATTCAACTTGTAGATCTCAAACTTGTGAAGATTAACCAGTTACTTATGATTCTCACTCTCATTGTTAGAATTTTTCAGATAATTGTACGACAACAGGAGCTGGTTGTATAACTATTTCTACATGCACTGCATATATGAAGAGATCTATTTGTAATGCTGCTTCATACAGTAAAGATGGTGTAAAAAGATGCATTTGGGATAGTGTACTAAAATCTTGTAGAAGTCAAGTATGTAGTGATATATCTGCATAAATTAATGCTGAATGTGAAGCATTCGGAGAAGGTTGTAAATTAAATGAATAAAAGTGTGTCCTTGGACTTTCATGCACTGAATTCACGAATTTAATGTTTTGTATTTCATCCAAAAAGGGACCATGTCTTTGGATCAATGGTTAATGTTATGATTATAAAAGATGTGAAGATGCAGGTAAAAAGACACATCTTTAGTGTTAAGCATTTTCACCAAAATGTACAACTAATGGAGAGACATGTATTCCAATTACTAATTGTACAAGCACATTATTGAAGGCCTCATGTGTCGTCGGAACTGATGGAGCTTGTGGATGGTTACCAACTGGAAAATGCTAGAAGTTTGGATAATGTACTGATGCCGTTGCTGCTACCAACGATGAATGTCTCTCATATGGACCAACCTGTATTACTGATGGAACTGCCTGTATTGCTAAAGCAGCTTGTGCTATTTACAAGACATAAACAGCTTGTAATAACCTTGGAACTGATGGTATCTGCTATTGGAATGCCACTGCTAATACTTGTAAGTTGAAGGAATGTGGAGATGAATAAAAGGGTACAAACGACTAATGCAAACTTATCTCAATAACTGGAGGATCATGCACAACTGATGGAACCAAATGTATCCCATTGTCAATTTGCTCAAGCTATGTTGAAGCTGGATGTTTCTACGGAACCGAAGGAGAATGTACTTTCGCATTACCAGTTGGAGCTACTACAGGAACAAAGAGATGCAGGTAAATGCAATGTGAAGATATCACTGGAGGAACATCAAATGATAATTGTATAGGTATTATTGCAGGAAAGTATTGTGTTTCCAACGGAACAAGTTGCATTGCCAAAGCTGCTTGCTCAACTTATAAGACCATTACATTCTTGTAACGGAGGTGGTTTAGAAAACAATAAATCAACTGTTTGTGCTTTCACTCCTACTGGAACTGATAAAGTTAATGGAACATGCAAGACCTTCACCGCATGTGCCGATGCTACTAAAGACAAATATGCTTGTACAATAATTCCATCATGTCTTTGGATTGAAGATTCAACAGGAGCAACTTGTGTTAATCATACTTGTGAGACCTATGCCACAGATGCAGGGTGTCTTAATATTCCAACCTTTGATGGCAATTCATAAATGGTTTGTTTTATGTAAGATGGAAAATGTGTTTCTAGTGATCCAATTGAAATTACAGACCCAAGAATATGTTACTCTAAATCATAGCATTCACACACTTGGAATATATAAACCAGTAAATGTGAAAGTTGTAGCTAAGTAAAGAACCCTGATACACCTTAAACGACCAATTCTGTAAATTATATGTTCCTCTTATAGCTTTGTCTATGGGTGTTATTAATGTTTTTTTGATGATCATTTATAATATGTATTTTCAATTCATATCATGTAATTTATTTTGTATCAAATCTCATACTGGTTGAATAAATTTATGTGAAGTTAAATTGTTCACATTGATTCTTAATGCTATTTGGTTGAATTAATTTTTATATCTATAATTCTTTTATTTTCAATTCTATTTGATATTTTCGATTAGACTTCAATACATTCCATGAATATTTACAAAACTTATGAAACATATTTTTTCTATCCAGAAATTTCTATTTACATCAAAACAAATACATAGATGCATTCAATTAAAGGATTGATTAATTCTTTAATTATTTAATCCTTTATCTAAGGCTTTATTAACTTATCACTCTCGACACTAGGGAGAGAATTATTTATATTATTGTATTTTTTTATGTTTAAGATGTTTTAATAGGATTTTTATATGCGAATTTAGAATGATTACATAACTTTAATATGCTAATTACTATTCTATTTTCCGAATGTTATTAATTGGTAAACAATAAAATGTAATTTATTAATATTTTTATTTTAATATATATATATATTTAGATAATAATATTTATATAACATAAATTTAATACAAATACCTTAGAGATATTAATAGATGAACTATTTTTATTTGCTTTGGATTCAAAAATAATAAGTCCATAATGATCTTGTTTATTCTTTGTTTGTAACAATATATAGTATAAATGAGAGAGATTGTTAATTGGAAAAAAAAAGAACAAAATGAAGTAAAAAAATATAGAAAAAAAGACACCTTCTCATACTCTCAAAAAGGTCTAAAATATGAAATTTTGTTGGTTGGATTAAACTGTGGATATTTGTTTTTTTATTTTACATTTTATTTGTAAAACGAGTTGGATTAAAGCAGATAAGATATTGTTTCTCATATAATAATTTCTTTATTATAACTCAGCAAATCATAAGCTTATCAAATTTCAATGAAAAGAAAACACTCCAAATACCCGAATGTGTGAGTTACTTTAGAGATCAAACGAAATTCATTTGAAATTTCTTAATTTATATATATTCTAGAAGTTTCTTAATCAATCATTTTTACTCCAAAAAAAGTGGAATAGAGAATTTTTTATATTATTTTGAATAATATTGTAATTATTTAATTAATCACTCATTATTTCACTGTAAATGATCTTGATTAATAACTTTCTTTCACTTTTTCTTCAATACATAGATTTATAAAGATTTTAGTGTATCTTGTTCATTCTAAGCCACTTAATCTACTTTTAGTTAAGACTCTTTATTCTTCACTCTTAATAATAATAATTCATATCAATTTTTATATTTATTTAATTTCTTCATATTTTGTAAACATTCTAGAAAATAATTCAGATTAGTTTGAAAAAGCATTTCAAGCATTTATTATTCAAAATTGGAGTTGAAAATTAGTATAACTCAATTTATTCTCAATTAGTAATTTTAAGGTACAATTTCTTTATAGAGATGTCTATATAATGATTTATTGAATCATCATCTTTTTAGTATTGTTTTGATCTTAATTATTCATTATGATATTTTTTGGCTTTCCTTACTTGTTAAAACAACATTAGGCAGTACATCTCAAATGTATCTTTTTTTGCTTAACACGAATAATTAAGAATTTCGAAATATATAAAAATATTTGTTAACTTCCTTTTTTGATTTCTTAGGTTGCCGACACTATAATAATTCACACAATCAACTCCAAACTCAATATCTAAAAATATAGATGCATCATTTTCATTTTTAAGGAAAGTCTTTACAATCATCATTAAACAAGATGGTGGAAAGACAAAATTATTTAGTATTTTTAGAAACACTTTCATTTAAATTACTCCTACAAGTCTGTTTTATACATTAGTAATAATACATCTATTGGAATTTTGCAGAAAATATTCAATATTTTATTATATTTATAACCATTCAAACCTCTTATTTATTCATTTTTTTTGAATTTTAAACTCATTTAGTCAACAACATAAGATAATCTCTTGAAATGTAAGGAAGAGAGGAAATAATAATTCTAAATTTTTTCCCATCATAGTTAATTAGGTTGCTTCTATAATTAATTCTGCTTTCTAGAATCTCATATAAATCATATATAGCAACTATATTTAAAATGCTATAATATATATATAAAAGGCTTCCATCTTTGGGTAAATTACTAGGTTTGTTATGCCTTACTTATCTCTTTAAACCATTAGAAATAACTTAATATAAGTTGTATTGAATATTTATATATAAAATTGATTTTTTTTGACCAAGTTGACTAATTTGTCTAGGCCACATCTGCCAACCCCAAAATATAAGAAAATTAAATTATATTAAAAATTTTGCATGATTATCTTAAAAATCAAAATCTGAAAAATATAATATAAAAATAATCTTACATCATTAATAAAAGGAAAATAATTAACATTTACGGAGCAATTTAACTCGCTTAATTTATAAATGTTATCTTAATACTTTTAATGAAGAATTTAATTCTCATTTGCTTAGTTGCTATGGTCTTAGCATAGCAAGTTCAATATACAAATAGATGTAATGATTGTGGATAACTAAAATCACAAAATGATTGTGAATAAGAAATTACTGTTACAGGAGCTTGTGAATGGGTAGCTGCATCAGGAACAACAGCAGCAAAATGCTAAAAAAAAACAACAGTCGATCCAGTTGCTTCATTCAAACCTTTTTGCGAGCTTGTCGATAAGCCAGAAACAAACTGTGCTAAAACCTTTGGATGTGCCTATGTTGACTCCAAATGTACGCATTTTACAGGATGTCCAGCATATGTTAAAACTACAACAACAGATTGCTAAGCTATATCCTATTTTTGTGTTAGTGATGGAAATTCATGTATTGAGGCTAAGGAGTGTAAGGCTTACACATAATAATAATGTGAGTCTACTCCAAGTATCTCAGGTATTTTGAAATGTAAATGGGATACAACAGCTGGAGCTTGCAGAGATTATGCTTGCTCAGAAGCTGATACTACCTTAAATACAGATGCCAAATGTTCAAGCTGGTTAGCTGGTTGTGTCACAAAAGGTTAAGGTTGCGTTAATGCTCCAAGACCTGCATGTGCTACATACTACTGGAGATGATGCTGCTTGTTAATCATTCATTGGATCAGATGGAAATTGTGAATTAGCAACCGGAACAACTAACTGTAAGGCAAAGGAATGTGCAAATGCACCAACATCTTTAGCTTCTGATGATGACTGTAAGGCCTATTAAAAAGGATGCATAACAACAGGAAAAGGTTGTGTTTTGGCAACAACAAAACCCTTATGTTCAACCTATTCTGGTGATAACACTACTTGTGTTGGATATATTGGATCAGATGGAGTTTGTGAAGGTGATGCTGGAGGTTCTAAATGTCGAGCCAGAAAATGCGAAAATGGAGCATTCAATACTGATGATCTTTGCAAATAATATTAAAGCAGTTGTAAGACAAATGGAAAAACTTGTGTATCTGCATTATCAGCTTGTAATACATATAAAGGAACTGCCACCACTTGTGCCGTTTATATTGGTACCGATGGATATTGTAAAGGAACAAGTACAACTACTGAAGCTGCTTGCGCACCAAAGGTTTGTGACGAAGCTCCAGATACAACTACAACAGATGATGCTTGTGCCAAATATTAAGTTGGATGTGTTACTACAGGAAAAGGATGCGTTACAAAGGCTAATTTGAAATCTTGTACTACTTATGATGGAGATACCACAAGTTGCTAATCTAGAGTAGGAACTGAAGGAAAATGTACATGGAAGAGTGGAACCAAATGTGTTGCTAGAGATTGTGCTTCTGCAGCAAGTAATGTCAATACTAACCCACTTTGTGCCAATTATTTCACTAATTGTGGTTACAACTGGATCTGGATGTGTTTCATAAACTACATGTGATTTAACTGTTAAATAATAAAGTTGTGAAGGTACAAATAATTGCTCATGGTAACCAATATGTACTAGTAATGACATAATGTAGTGATTTTAAGAAAAAATCAATTTGCTTAGCAAATTAAGCCAGAATTAGAACACAAGATGGAGTAGATGATTCAGGAAATCCAAAATACATTTATGTAACAGGAAAATGTGGTTGGTTGAATAATGCTTGCAAAGATTTGGCTTGTTCAGATTTAACTGGAGCTTATTACAACACTGATGCAAATTGTGCAGCAGAACTTCCAACATGTATTAGTAATAGAGTTGATGCTTGCATTACCAAATATGACTGTGCCAAACTTTTTGGAACATAATCTACATGTTTGAGTTATCCAGGATATTGTACCAATGTCGCTTCAGCTACAGACACAACTCCTTGTGTGTCCAGAAAATGTACAGACAACACCGATGCAACAGATAATGCTACATGCGCTACTTTCTTACCTGGATGTATTAGTAACGGAAAAGGTTGTGTTGATTACAATACTCCATGCACATCAATGAAAGGAACTTAAGATACTTGTAACAAGCTTTTTGCTTACAAGAGTGGATCAAGCACCAACTTTACAACATAATAATGCTACAATAGTGCAAGTGCGACTGAGAGTGATTTCTGCAAAGTTAAAACATGCAAATTGGCTGAAAACTAAACTGATGGTTCATGTGGATCATTTTTAGATGGATGTGTCTATAATGGTAATCTTAGGTTGTGTCGATCCTAAGGCTGGTGACACAACTTGTGGAAGTTACACTGGTGTTGCTGCATTCTGTGAGTCTGCAATTGTAGGAAATAATAGTTCAAAATATTGCTTTGGAACATCTACATCAGGTGCTTGCACCACTAGAGCTTGTACAGATAATACAACAGCCACAAAGGACGAGGATTGTGAGGCTTTCATGCCTGGATGTATAGCAAAATCTGAAGGAGGTTGTGCTGCTAGATCTGCAAGAAGCTGTTCTGCATAATAAGGAACTGTTGCTACTTGCCCTACTGTTAGCGGTGGTTTGTAAGTTTCAACAGATTGGACAAAAGTTGGGTGTACAAGATATGATGCCTGTGCAGATAGAGCTTGTGCAGACAAAACAAGTCCTTAGTAAGCCTCAGATTGCACAGACTATAAATCAACTTGTAGATTTTTAAAGGCTGGAGCTGCCTGCATTGATGCAAGTATTTGTAGTAATTACAATACCCCTGATACAGCCACAACTGATTAACAAAAGTTTGATTATTGTACAAGCATCAAAGATAATGCTGGGTTACTTTGTGGTTGGTCCTCAGGAACAAAGTGTGCATCTAGAACTTGTGACTAGTTCTTGAGCACATTTACTACTTCATTAACATGCGTTACTTATTTATAAAAGAATGTTTCTATTTCAACAGATGCAACATGTAAATTAGCAGGAACCATTTGTTATTTACCTGATAAGGCAAATTGCGATTACAGTTATGCTTCTACAGATACAACTGATGCACTTAAACTAACTTAATGCAAGAAATATGTAAATGATAAAGGCCTTACATGTACATTTAAAACAGGTGATACTAAATGTAGTTTATAAGATACTTGCGAAAAATTAATCACATAAACAGATACAAGAACATGTAATGATCAATCTATTTTCGATTCGGATGGAAAATGTTAAAAAGTTACAGATTCAACTTGTTTAACTTTATCAACACTCTGCACAGACTATAAACTTGATTCTACTTTGACTACTACAAAAAAATAAGAATTATGTTGGGGATTGAAGGCTATTGATGCTTTGAATAAAATAACTACAGGAACTGGAGCTTATACTAAATGTGTGTATAAGACAGGTGCTGCATGTGATGCCATTGCTGCTTGTTCAGATATTTATTCTGCTTCAAACATAGGAGAATGTGAGGCTTATAAAACAGGATGCCTTTATTTTAGTGGTAAATGTTACGCCGCTGTTACAGCTGGTAATTGTCCTACAACTTTCCCAAGTGGAGTTACAACGGATAGTTAAAAGTCACTTTATTGTAGAAGTATCAAAGAAGCCTCCGATTATTGTAGTCTTAAATCTGATAAATCATCATGCGTTCTTGCAACCAATGCAACTTGTGGTGCTATAACAATTCCAACAACTGGAACTTGGGATACATAAAGCGACCCAACCACAGATGCTTTTAAAAATGCATATTGTTTAGCCTAATCATAAAAAGATAGAGCAAAACTATGCAAATATACATCTGGAACTTCAACAACACTCTGCAGCGATGCAACATGTGCTGACATTCCATCGCCAACTAGTTAAGGAGATTGTGATAATTACTTATCTGGATGTATTTACTCTAATAATAAATGCTATACACCAGGAACAGGAGTTGCAGCCGCTGGTGATTGTGCTGATAATGGCAAAGTTCCTATAGATAGCGGATTGACTGCAGCTTAAAAATTAGTATATTGCTAATCATTTTACAAATCAGATAAATCTATCTACTGCACATATGATCAATATAATGGAACTCCCCCAGCTCAATGTGTTGATGCTGCTGCATGTACTTCTTATACAGCATTGCCAACTGCTGATGCTGATAAGCCAACTTATTGTTTAAGCAAAGTTGATGTAAGCGGAAAAAGATGTGCATTCACAGCTGCTGATACTAAGTGTAGAGACTTTGATTGTTAAGATATTACAGGCGCAACATCTTAGGTAGATTGCGATTTAGGAGCACCAGGAAAAACATGTGTTTATCTTTTAGGAACATGCTATAATAAAACACCAGCCTGTACAGCAATCACAGCATAAGTTGGAAATGAAAAGGTTTATTGTGATTAAGTGAGTGCAGCAACATCATGTACTTATATTTCAGGAACATCATGCGCTATTGAACAAGATTGTCACCTTTATAGTGTCTCAACAAATTAAGCGACCATTTGTGCAACATTAACTGATGCAAGTGGAAATGCATGTACATATATTGGAGGAAACAATTGTGTTAAATTGGATACATGTGCATCATATGATGGGTCAACTACAGCAGAAAAAGGACCTACAGCTGGTTCAGAAGAAACACAATGCAAAGCAGTTAAATCGATTTCTAAATATCCATGCATAAAGGATACTGATAAAAAATGTAAGGCCTAGATATGCACTGATAATGATGCCAGTGCTACAGATTGTGCAAATAATGCATCAGGCTGTCTCTATTATTCAAATAAATGCATTACTAAAGATACTTGTGCAAATTATGCACCATAAGGTGCCGACGATACTGCCTAATAAGCATGGTGTGAAGGAGTTTTGAACTCCTCAGGAGATTTATGTGCTTGGGACTCTGGAACCAAAAAGTGTAAAGACAGAGCATGTGGTGATAAATAATTCTATACAGACTTTGATTGTTAAAGTTACCTCAAATCTTGCAAGACTAATGGTTAAATATGCGTTTCTTCAACTACTCTTTGTAATACAATTAATGGATCTGCAGATTTTTGCAATCTCATATTAGATTCAACAACAAAAGACAAATGCAAACCTTTAGCACCAGCTACTCCAACAGCTGCAGGGGCATGCACAAACAAAAAATGCTATGATAATGTTACAGCAACATCTGATTCTGAATGTGATTCTTATTTGAGTGGATGTGTTACACGTGGAACAGGATGTATTCCAAATAATGAACCATGCACATCATACAGAGGAACTAAATAGTAATGCGAATAATTCAAAAAATACACTGGATTAGATGCTAATAAAAATCCAATTTATGAATATTGTTCTGGTGATGCTACTAATACAGCTACTTCAAAATGTAAAGTTAGAACTTGTGCTGATAACACTACAGCCACATCAGATACCGAATGTGCTGCTTATCTGAAAGGATGTATTACAAAGGGTACTGGATGTATAGATGCAACATCATCATGCACTGGATTCAAAGGAGATTAAGCTACATGCGCTAAATTCATGGGAAGTTCAGGAAAAGATTATTGTTGGAACACTTCAACCGCATTAGCTACAGCTACTTGTGCAAAGAAGAAATGCAGTGATATTGCTGGTAAAAACAATAAGGATTGTAGTGATGGTATGCCACCATTCAAGACTACAGATGATCCTTTCTGTGTCTTTGATGGAACTGGTTGCATTGATTATGGAAAGAATTGCAGTACCTTCAATGGAACTGAAGAAACATGCCCAACATATTTGGCTAAAGATGGTCCATGCAAAGCTACTACAGTTGGAACAATCAAAGGAGCATGCGCTAAGAGAGTATGTACAGAAGCACCAAATACACTTGCAACAGATACTGATTGTTAGAAATACCATAAGGATTGTTATACAACTGGTTATGGATGCACAGCTACTAAGAACTGCAGTAACTTGACATCATAAGCTGCTTGTAAATTAAGAGCAGAATGCACATGGGCTAATTAATGTACAGCTTCTGGTACCACCTCAGGCTACGTATAGTAACACCAGTTACTCATAATGTACTAATTCTAAAGTCAATGGTAAATTCTGTGCTTGGACCGAATCTAACTCAACATGCAGAGCTTAAACTTGTGAAGATTAACCAGCAACAATTGCTTCTCATGCATAATGTTAAAGCTTTGCTGATAATTGTACTACATCTGGAGCTGGTTGTTTGACCATTGCAACATGTGCATCATACAAGACTTAATCAATATGTATTGCTGCCTCAACTACCAAGGACGGAGTAGGAAGATGTGGTTGGGATACTGCAACAAATAAATGCAGATCTAGAGTTTGCGGCGACAAGAACGGTTTAACAGATGATGAATGTAACACTTTCCTTGCTGGTTGCAAGACCAATGGATCAAGTTGTGTTGCTGGAGCCTCATGTACTGAATTTTCTAATAAATAATTCTGTATTAAATCCAACTATGGACCATGCCTTTGGGTTAATGGATCATGCTATGATTACGACAGATGTGAAGATGCTATCAAGAAGACACACCCAGAATGCTAAGGTTTCTCACCATTGTGCACAACCAATGGAGACACTTGTATTCCAATTACCAACTGTGCCAGTACAACATTGAAGGCCTCATGTGTCGTCGGAACTGACGGAGCTTGCGGATGGTTACCAACTGGAAAATGCTAGAAGTTCGGATAATGTACAGATGCCGTTGCTGCCACCAATGATGAATGTCTCTCATATGGACCAACCTGTATTACTGATGGAACTGCCTGTATTGCTAAAGCAGCTTGTGCTACTTACAAGACATAAACAGCTTGTAATAACCTTGGAACTGATGGTATCTGCTATTGGAATGCCACTGCTAATACTTGTAAGTTGAAGGAATGTGGAGATGAATAAAAGGGTACAAATGACTAATGCAAACTTATCTCAGTAACTGGAGGATCATGCACAACTGATGGAACCAAATGTATCCCATTGGCTGCTTGCTCAAGCTATGTTGAAGCTGGATGCTTCTACGGAACCGACGGAGAATGCATTTTCGCATTACCAGTTGGAGCTACTACAGGAACAAAGACTTGCCGATAAAAGCAATGCGAAGATATCACTGGAGGAACATCAAATGCTAATTGTATGGGTGTTATTACAGGAAAGGCATGTGTATCTAATGGAACAAGTTGCATTGCAAAGGCTGCTTGCTCAGCTTACAAGACCATTACATCTTGTAACGGAGGTGGTTTAGAAAACAATAAATCAACAGTTTGTGCTTTCACTCCTACTGGAACTGATAAAGTTAATGGAACATGCAAAACCTTTACAACATGTGCTGATGCTACCAAAGACAAATTAGCTTGCACAACCAACCCAACATGTAAATGGACTGAAAACTCAACAGGAACATCTTGTGCTAATCACACCTGTGATACCTTTGCCACAGGAACTGATTGTCAGCCAATTCCAAGTTTTGATGGATCCTCATCTACTATTTGTGTTCTTTAAAGCGGAAAATGCGCTGCTGCTGATCCAGGAACCATGACCGATTCCAAGATTTGCTACACTAAATCAGCTTACACTTATAGTTGGAATGCCGTTACTAATAAATGCGAAAAGTTGTATTGCAGGATCCGTCACTCCTAATAATTCAAATGGTACTAATAATGGAACAGATAATGGAACTACTACCGACAACAGTGCTTACATCTTGTCAGTTATTTCATTCGGCCTTTTAGGATTAATGGCATGATTTTTATTTTCATATTATATATAGGGAAAAATTATTAATGAAATAAATAAATGATTGTTTCAATAAATAAATCTAAGAAACATTAAATTTAGAATTTTATTTGGTTTTAGTTATTATATAAAAATATTAAGAGTTTGGCTAATTTTAAGCTAACCAGAATTAGTTTAGAATGAAGTATAAAGATTCTATTGATACTTAAGGAAGAATTTATTTAATCATTAACTAAATCTGTGCTGAAAAAAATAATGATTAGGTCTATCTTTAATTTTTTCAAATCTTTAGATTATTTGCCTTCTCCAAAGTGAAATTTATCCTTAAAATTTTTTGACTCAATAATCGTAAGGTTTTCTTATATTAATTTAGTTAGTGTTATTTTGAATTTAGGTGGAATTGGTTCAAAAATAACAATTATAAAAAAGCTGAGAGATAAAAATATTTTATCTTAATTCCGAGATTGAATATAAATTTTTTTTTATAATAGAATTTGATACTATCTATTTTTCTTCTTACTTGAGTAGCTAAATTTTATAAGCTATGAGCGGAAGGAGCGGGTTTCATCAGTATGAAGAGTGTAATTCTGGTCTGTTTCTAGAATTAGCACTCACCAAACATCTATGTTCTCTTAGTAAAATTTGCTTGATTAGGTTCGGGTAATGATTTTATGAAATTTATTGGAATTACCCAATCAACATTCTAATTTAATAATTTTTTTCAGTTAGACGTAATAAAATGTGATATGAGCTACTATTTTAATTCAAAAAGCAAAGTCTACAAAAATAAAATGTCACTATTCCCTGTATAAAGTTAAAATACAGTAAAATATTCAAAATTTGCATTTAAGTTATCTATCCCTAAGCTTTTCCTATCCTTTTTTAATGGTTTTTTATAGGTCATACCACAATACGTTTAAAATGTATCTAAACTATACACATATCACTCTGTTATCTATACATTTCACACAGCGCTAATATAAATGTGAGCATTAACCTAATGCTAAATTTTTCTTAATATAATTAATTTAACTTTTATTGAAATCATGAAATCCAGCAATGATATAATTTGACTAGGATAAGAATCTCTAGGAAGTAGTTTAACAATTTTTGAGATGTTTTGAGTCATTTGGTAGGGTAAGATTTTTAAAAAATACCTTGTCATTATTTGAAATTTGTTCCTTCTCTTTTGAGGCTTTCTTATTTTTGAATCTCCTTCTTAAAATTTGTTCTTACTTGTTACTTCTAATTGGTAAAATTATGGCAACCATAGTCACACATTCTATGTTATTATCATAATCTTTGAGGGACATTATGATTAAAATATATTTAAACATAATTGTAGATAGGCTTTATTATTTTTAAGGATTCTTCTTAATAATTTAATAATTAACTTTAATTAACATTCTATTTATTTTTTTAATATCTTTTTATTACACTAAATTAACTATAATTGTATTACTCAACTTTAAGACACTCATGACTAAACATTTTAAACTGTAGAGACTTTTCTTTTGATTCTCCTTAACCTTTTTTTATCAAGAGTGATTTTTATCAAGTTCTTACCTATACAAATTGTTTTTTCAAACTTTTTGAATATAAGAATTACAATACACAAATTGGAGCATAACTTTAAGATATTTATTTTTTTGATTTATGAATTATGAACCTTTATTTAAGTGCTAATAATAGTTTATTAAAGTGATGAAATATTTTTATTTTTATAACAACCTTGATTTTCATTGTTGAAATAAATTAGGAACAAAAGAAGAGGAGGTTTATACAAATAAAAACTTCAGTAATTTTGTATTGATATAATTTATGATGATCAATCAGTTAGAAACTCCTCAGCTTATTACTAAATTCCACCTTATTAAAGTTCTTTCTGATTATTTTGAATTTTTAAGTTTTCCCTCATACTTGTTTATTTTTTTGTTCCTTCCTCCAATTACATCTTTACCTTCTCGAATTACTCAAGGACTTTCTTTGCTTTTTGTTTTAAAGTTCACAATTGAACCTTTGAATATTCTAAGTCTTTTTTGATCGATACATTTAAGATCAAATCCTATAATTTTATTTGATTTATATTGATAATATCTATTTACAATATATCTTAAACCCTTCAGCATATGTTGAAATTCGTTTATTTAAAATATTAATGGTTTGGTGAAACCAAGTAGAATAAAAATTTACCAAAATCCATTTCTATTTCCTATACAATTCTTAAAATAACCAGAATAATTACTTGTAGAAATTTAACAGTTTAGGAGAGCTTTTCTAAATAGTTATTCGTTCTCCATTATTTTAAAAATGCCTAAATATTTATAAGTGGAATCGTTAGGAAAATATAACAAATTTTGATAAAGATAGATTTTTTTATTCTTAATCCTTATTGAACTCCATTAAAAAAGAATTTTATTTCATTTGTTAATGGATTAATCTACGCAAATGAGAGTGTAATTTCATTAAGAATTTTTATTCTAAATGGTTAAATATTTATTTTGATTCCATTATTAAATAGAGAGGTACTCTTTTTACTTAATTGAGTGCATTGCTAAAATCTATGAATAGACAATTAATTTATGTTTTTTTTGTTTTAACTATTTATATATATATTAAGTTATTAATAATGCACTATGTAATTTATGATATCATTTTTTTATTTTAAAGAAATAATTATTTAAACAACATGAAAGATAATGTATTAATAATGTTTAGATTAAGTATCTTACACCCATTCATCAAGTATAATTTTATTTTTATACAATATTTTAGGTGTATTATATACTGGCCTAATGTTTGGCTGAATTTATCTCCAAAAATATAATTCTCCATGTATTAACACTTAATACTGCCTAAAAGTTGCACTCAAAAAAGTGTTAAAGCAAAAAAATTGAATCTGTTTGAGAAATCCATTAAATTATTGGATTCATCCCTTTCACACCTACATAATCATTACAATGCAATAAACTTCCTGATAGGAATGGTTGATTAATGTATCGAATTACGTTTCCCTAAACCATAGATATTTTAAGCCTTTCATCAAATTGATTGAATGGATTCACATAATAAGATCTTTAGTAAAATATTCTTCTCCTAAAATTATAAAATTGAGAGATTTAAATACAACATTTTATCGAACTAGGAGTCTCAGATTTTCCAACATCATAAGAGCAACGGTTGTAAAAGAAAGTTTATTCTATAAATCATCAATTGCAAACTATAAGAAGAATTTTATAAAATTGCGATTAACATAAAACTACATTAGGCCTTAATTAAAATAAATTACTGACAAGAAATGTTTAATTAATGTGTTGTATATTTTGAATCTAAATGCAAAATGTTTCAAATAGTTTTAGGACGGGAATGTTATTGGAAGCACAAGAAATAATTTAGAATAAAATTAAAAGTCTGGTATTGTAGCTAGTTAAACACTTCTATTGGTCAAAATAGATATATAAAATTCTCTCGAAGAATTCAGAAATAACTTAAGATGGATAAACTATCTTGATAATTAAAATTGTAATAAATAATATGATTAAAAATTTACAAAATATTAAAAGAGTTATAAAATATTTAATATTTCAAGATATTCTAAAATTATATAAGAACCGTATCATAAAGTGATAAAAGCAAAGAGAAATTAAGGTTAGGAAGCAAAATTGAAGATAATAAAATATAGTCAATAGAAATGAATTATTAGTTCTGAATTATTTACTTAAGTTGTAAATAATGGAAGAGAGAGTAATATAATTTTGGTAATTATTTTGAAACCATATCTGCTTTCTTCAACTTTCTCTCAAACTTTAAACGCTAATTAATAATATCTTAAAAGTTGATCATCTTTTGAGATTATTCATTAATTATCCCCATTATCGGGTTTAATTATGGAGTATATAGTGACAAATACAAATAGTTTACATATCTAAAGAATTCTATCGTTGTATCTTTCTTTATGAATGGATGCATAGTCCTTAAATTCTGAGCCAATATAACTAATTAATTGTGTAAATCAGCATAGCTTCAATAATAATAATCCATGTATTAATTTCTGTTCGAACTAAATAAAATGTTTAATTTATATTGTAAAAAACTTTAGATGAAATATAATCTGTACCAATTCCAGCTATTTCGTTATAAGGATACATTAAAATGACATAAAATATTGAAGCTTACAAATATTATTCACTATTGTTGATGCTAATAGTTGCTTTAAAATTAACTCAAGAAGTTGTTTGTAGGTAAATTTAATTATTTTTTTTTAAAATATACTTCGAAATTGAGCTCTTGCTTAATTTAAGAATGATGGAAAGTCATTGTTCCATATTATTACTTTCTTTAATAATAGAAAGGCTTGTCCAGCATTTTGTACTATTCCCCCAATAGAATCTAACAATTTTTATGAATTTAATAGCTATTCTAATCATTGTTTGATAAATAATTATCTTCAAATTTAACCGTTTCAATAGCAGAGATAAATTGAGGTTATTTTTAAAAAAAAATCAATTTTCTACAAAATCTTTATTAAATATATATTACATATGTCCTTTTACTTGTTAATTGAGTTAATATATCTGAGTACAAAATTTTTTAATTTACTTAGGATCATATTTTTTTTAAAAGATAAAATGTGATAAATAGTTTCGCAATTATACGCTATTTCAAACATCCATCCGACCTCATATTGTTTATTTTAAATGTCTTGCGATTCAAACCTAAAAATACCAGAATATGTTAAACAGATTATTGATGATTTACAAATATAACTATAAATGTGTGGATTTCCAAAATCACTTCCAAAGATATATTTCATATTTTAATTACTCCTTTGGAAGGAAAAATTTATTAATGTATGAATATTTATATTATTTAATCAAAAATTATTGATACTTCCAATTTCAAAAAATATTATTATGTTTCTACCTAGAAATGATATCTTATCTATACCTCTTAATCTTTACCATTACTTCCCTTTTAAGAGGTTTTTATAAAATAATTCATTATTTTATCATTTGTAGTTTTTAGAGCTCTCATTAATACTTAAAAGATCCTTGAGATAATTAATTAATCCAAGATATCATAGTAGTCAAAACTATTGGTATTCCTTTAATAAATGTATATGTTTGTTAATGTTAGTATAATAATACCCAAGAGAATACCAAATAGATATATGTACACATACCCCAAAATCAGTAGCAATTTCGATTTAGTTTCATAATATAAATTAAATAAATTTAGTCAATAAAATATACCAGAATC